TCAGGGCTAATCTTGCTCAAAAAAAAAAAAACCAGTAAGGACGTAAAAGGTCTGAGCAACACTATTAACAAACTGGCATTTGATATTTATAGAACATTACATCCAACAAATACAGAATACACACTCTTTTCCAGTGTTCATGAAACACTTTTCAAGATAGACTACATGCTATAGGTCATCAAAAAATAAAGTTTCAATTTCAAAGGACAGAAGTCATACAGAGTATTTTTTCTAACTAAAGGATATTAAATCAGAATTAAATAACAAAAAAAGATAACTACAAACTCCTAAAATATTTGGAAATTAAGTAGAATTTCTAAGTAACCCATGGTTAAAAAAATCACAAGGAAAATTATTGGAACTGAATCATAACGAAAACACAACATGTAGAATTTTTTACATACAGCTAAAGCAATGCTTAGAGTGTAATAAATAGTTTTAGAGTGGGGGAAGTCTAATATTAATTATCTAAATTTCCAACTCAAGAAGATAGGAAAAGAAGAGCTAATTAAATCCAATTTCATTGAAACCTAAACTGATTAAACATGAGTGCAAGATAAAGAGGATAGCTTTTTCTGGGAAAATAAAGTTGAATTTCTGAAAGGACTCACTCAAAGTCACACAAAAAAGTATTGTCCTTTTAGGTATGAGTACCATAACTGAAAAAACTGGGATATTTGGGGGGGAAATCCAGACGAATCCTTAGATTCATAGTCCTTCCCTAATGTCTTAAATTCTTATCTTAAATTCCTTCCCGAATGCCTTAAGTTCTTGCTCCAGAGCACAGGTACTGGAAGGCGGAGCGGTCTGGGTTTGGTCAACCCAAGGAAGGCAGGAGAACCCTCCCAATCAGCAGAAAAAAGCTCGGCCTCCTGTGCCCATTAGAGTCCCATCCAAGAGACAGAAAACACACAGAAATGTGGTCAGGGAGCTTAACGTAGAGAGCTAGTAACCAGAAACACAGGATTAACTATAGAGGGACAGCTACAGAGAATCCCTGGGGTGGAGGAGGAGCTCCCAGGGAACAAACCTCAACCCTCCCCCGCTCCCCGGACCAGGATAGTGGTGTGTGGATGTGTATTTACATATTTAAAGCACAAATAAAACGTTTGGAGTATGTATGACCATTGTTTTAGTGCTGCCCTGCTTTACCAAACCAACTACCAGTCCTGATCACTCGGGGCTGGAGGAAGCTTAGAATGGTGCAGTGGCACTGAAGATCACTGGGCGCATTTCCAGAATGTGACGAGCAGTCACTCAACACTCTGCAGGTCACTCAGGAAAATGTCTGTGAGGACGTCCCCCCCCAACCCCCAAAACCAGATTAAATCCAGGTGAGTTAGAGTTAAATGCAAACAGAGAGAGAGAGGCAGAGAGTGAGTAGAAACCTGCTCTCCAAGGGGAAAGGACTGACTTCTCCCTCAAGCCAAGAGTGACATCACCAAGAGAAGGAAACTGAGAGATTGATGGCAGAAACATCTAGAAAATGTGTGCTTTAAAAGCACCAGAAGCAAAAGTAAAAGCCAAATAAAAGCTATTTGTGCGGCTGGCCCGGTGGCGCAGCAGTTAAATTTGCATGTTCCGCTTCAGTTGCCCGAGGTTCACCAGTTCAGATCCCAGGTACAGACCTACGCTTGTCAAGCCATGCTGTGGCAGGCGTCCCACATATAAAGTAGAGGAAGATGGGCACGGATGTTAGCTCAGGACCAGTCTTCCTCAGCAAAAAAAGAGGAGGATTGGCAGCAGATGTTAGCTCAGAGCTAATCTTCCTCAAAAAATAAAATAAAAATGAAAAAAAAAAAGCTATTTCTTACGTCATGTCTGCGGAGAACTCATAGAAATAGGTAAAACACTGAGAGTCCAATAGAAAAGTTGGCAAAGCCCCGAAGAGAGAATTTGCAGAAGAGACGCTATAATTCAGGGGAGCTCCGGGACATCCGACCGCCTGGGGATCAGAGAAACACAAAGTAAGCGACAAGACACAGCTTTGCTTACTAATGAGCTGAAAAATGCAGAGCTCAACATTCAGAGCAGAGAGAATTCAGTGAGACAGACAAGCTGATGCTCCTCATGGTCGTGGAAGTTGGAATGACCTCTCTGGAGAGTGATTGTAATGTAGATGGAGACTCTTTAAATTGTCAAGAACAGTTTGAATCAGAAATTGTAGCCCACAGCAAGTGATCTAAAGTGCAGGTCCACATTTATGCCCAATAATACGTGTTGCAATATTACACTAGGAAAAGATGGAAATAAATATTAGAGGGATGGTTAAATTAATAATGTATAAATATGGACGTTATGCACAGATTAAAATTGTCTTTAAAGAAGTTTCAAAAAAGTACATGAGGAAATTATCATGATATAATATTAGGGCAAAAATAGGGTGTAAGTTTGTTTTATATCAGTTTTCTTAACATCCATTTTTTAAAGACTGACAAGAGGACATGCAGAAATGTTAATGTGCTTGTGCTGCTAGGCCCGTGAGTATGGATATGAGGTGTCCTGCTTTTCTACTTTTATAACTTTAGAAATATTCCATAATTAGTAAAATCAGAAAAGAAACCTTCAAAAGTCAGAGATAAAAGAAAAACTATGTTCTAGTCTATGTGGCTTTACCTTACGAGGTCCCTGGTGTAGAATGCTCAGCCCCAGCTGGAACACATGGAACTGACAAGGCCATAGGTGCCTGGAGTTGCATGAGGCAGCCAGACTCCATGCACAGAGCTAGGGCCAAGGGCGTGCTGAAGAAGATCTTGTGGCCTGACCACTGCACGGTCGCCATGGGGGAAGCTGGTCAGCCTGCAAATACGTTCAGGTGCCTGGTGCCTGGTGCCTGGTGTGGGTTGTTGAGTGGACACGTGAAGAGGGAACTCCTCCCTCAGTGTGCAGTCAGGCCCTAGGAAGGCCACCTGTCCCCTTGCCCAGGACCACCTGAGAGTGAAGAGTCTCCAGTGAACAATGGGATGTGGAGTCATCAAGGGCCCAGAGAAGTTCAGTCACAGTTTTCACGTTTAATCCACAACCAAGTTCCCCTCTGGCTTTTCCAAAGGACCAGAAGAGTTCTGTTTTGTTTTTAGTTTTCCAAATGGGAGAATGATGCTGAGCTTTTTGAAATACTGCAGTAACTGGTGTGATGCATCTCTTTTGATTGAAAGCCTGCTAGTGATCTTGAGAAATTCAGGTTCCTGGACACTTTGTGAGAGCCCGTTATAAAGAAAGACCCTGCGCTTATTGTTAGCAGCTGAACTGTGGCTTTTAAACAGTGAGGCCCACTGACCTCTTCTCAAATTAAAAACTTTGGTTCTGACACTTCTTCCTTAAAACACTGTAAACAACCTGAGCGCACCATTTGGAGAAGATGTTGAGACCAGAGAAAGAATTACTCTTTGCAACCTGGAGTTTTCTCAGAACTGGAACTATTTGGAACATTACTAGAAGATTTATAGCATCTGTCTAATTTGGCAGCAACCCCAGGGGAGCCAAAAGATTTACAATCAAAGCCATGGTGAGTTTGCCCAAGGAGAATCTCAGAACTGCGAACTGCGTTGGAGCTGGGAAGAATGATGTTCTTCTCTCTGTTTGTTTCCTTTTCAAACCCTCGATGTGCAGTTTGCACATAATTCGGTGGTTGGTGTTGTGTGCGTTATTACGACATCAAAGCCAAAGCCCCCACAAGTACAACCTGAAGAAGCTTCTCATTTCAGTTGATACAGAAAAAACATTTTGACAAAATTCAACACCCTTTCATGATAAAACCACTTAAACTAAGAGCAGAAGGAAACTACCTCAACAGAATAAAAGCCATATGTGAAAAACCCACAGCTAACTTCATACTCAATGGTGAAAGACTGAAAAGTTTCCTCACTTTCTCCGCTGCTATGCAACGTTGTCCTGGAAGTTCTTGCCAGACAAATTAGGCAAGAAAAAAAGAAATTAAAGTCATCCAATTCACAAAGGAAGAAGTAAAACTATCTCTGTTCACAGATGACATGATCCTGTATGTAAAAAACCATAAATATTTCACAAAAAATTGTTGGAACAGGGCCGGCCCTGTGGCCAAGTGGTTAAGTTTGCACACTCCACTTCAGCGGCCCAGAGTTTCACCAGTTCAGATCCTGGGTGCAGACCTAGCACCACTCATCAGGCCATGCTGAGGTGGCATCCCACATAGCAGAGCCAGAAGGACCTACAACCAGAACATACAACTATGTACTGGGGGGCTTTGGGGAGGACGGGGAAAAAAAGAATATTGGCAACAGATGTTAGCTCAGGGCCAATAGCTGCAGCTATTGACATGTCTGCATTCCCCAAACTGACTGACACTCATGCTTTGTGAAGGCAGTGCCCGTGTTTGACTTGTGTGCCACCCATCCCGAAGTCTAAGCCTTTTCTAGAGTGAGTTCTTTTCAAAGAAGCACTTCAGAACTCACCCCATAGTCTACAGCTTGGTTGTAAACTTTGTTGACTTCTTCAAGTAAGTAGAAAGGACCCTGCTGCATTAGGTAGAGCTTGCAGCCCATGTTGCTGGTGTCCTGCTTGGGTACCAGCATCCCGTCACTGTACCCCCCGCCCTGCGATTCCAGAAGCAGTGCTTTCCTTGGGGGGCTGCCCATGGGCACTGGGGAAAGCCATAAATGCTGTGGGGCTTCGACCAAGTGCCAGTAGGGACAAGAGTGTGAAAGCCCAGCCCCTTGCCCAGGTGCGGCCAGCTCCTAGAGCCCCATGGGCCTGCTGCAGCTGCCTGTGGTCAGACTGTGCCTGGGGTTCCCCCTCCCTGCCCTGGTGCCCTCCTCTCCTAGCCTCCCACGAAGAGCTGTAAAAGTGGGTTTTAATGGACTTCACTTAACCAGAAAGAAACCCCTATTTTCGGTCCTAGTGATGGTTCGCTTTTCTGAGGTGCAGGGGGCCCAGTCTCTCACCCTCCCCGCAGTGTGGAGACAGGTTCCTGGCTCTGACAGGTCCATACGCTGCTGATCTCCCTCCCACCTCTCTTGTCCCAGGCCAGGTACACAGGCTATATCTTCTTCCACGAGGGCTGGCCGCTGTGCATCCACGAGAAGGTGGCGGTGCAGTTGGCGTCCCTGCATGGAGTCAGGCTCAGGCCTGGGGACTTCTACCTGCAGGTCACATCGGTGAGGAAGCAGTCAGCCAGACTCTTCTTAAAATGCCTCTCTTGGCTCGGACGAGGCTCAGAAGAAGTCTCTGTCCCTGAGGCCATGTACAGCTGCATCTTCACAGGAGAGTTCCTGGAATGGGTGAATGAGGAGCGGAACAGTATCCCCTTGCAACACTGCTTGCTGACCTCAGGCTCAGCGGTCTACCGCACCCCGTGGAGCAACGTCACAGACCCCATCTTTGTACCCGTGACCAGAACCATCTAGCCCAGCTGCTCCAGCTGTCCCGGGCCCCAGCAGCTACCGCCCAGTAGTGCCTGGGAGGACCTGGCCCCAGCACCAGCCACAGCCAACCCTTGTCTGCGAGGGAGCACCCCTTCCAGCGACACCCCAACCCTACCCTGCTGCAGCGGGCATCCTGGCAGTGACCAGCCCAGCCATCCTCCTTACCTGAAGAGAGCTGAGTGGGAAAGACCCAGGGCCGTGTCTGGGAGCTCTGACAGAGGCCTTGTAGGTGTCGGCCTCTTAGAGTGGAGCCCGGGGAAGCCCCCTGGGAGCCCCAAAGGACCAGGAGGGTGGCTGCACACCCTGGACAAGAAGGACAGCCCCCAGGCCGTCACCTTCCATGGGGACGCAGGCAGTCCAAGCTCCAGGAGGCAGCCACCCAGGGACCAGGCCAGCATGGAAGCCAGACGCTGGTTCAGGAAGTCCTACATGGAGGCCCTGCGGAACCCCATGCCCCTGGGCTCCAGCTCCGAGGAGTCCCTTTGGGATGAGGCCTGTAGCTCCCAGACCAAGGGGTCCGGGGCAGAGGCCAGTCCAACCCAGAAAGAAAGGAGGAGTCCGAGTCAAGAGAGCAGTCCAGGAGCCACGGGGAGGACCCTTCCCAGGAGGTCTCGGTCCTGGGACAGGTCCCTTAGAAGCTCCCAAAGTGACGACCGCCGGGCTTCTCACCACTCAGTGAGCGCCAGGCCCTGGGGTCTCTTAGGAGGACAAGCTGCAGGGACCAGAAACGCAGGCTCCAGCGGCCCCTCATGTGCCACAGCGGAGAGTCCCAGCTGCAACAAAGAGGAAGGTAAATGTCCCCTGCTCCTCCCCACACCCTCCCCTCTTCCCCATTCTCCCCTCCTCCTGCCCTCCCTCCCCTCCCCTCCCCACACCTCCCCTCTTCCCATTCTCCCTCCTCCTCCCTCCTCCCCTCCCCAACCCTCCCCTCTTCCCCATTCTCCCCTCCTCCTCCCCTCCCTCCCTCCCCACACCCTCCCCTCTTCCCCATTCTCCCCTCCTCCTCCCCTCCCTCCCCTCCCCACACCTCCCCTCTTCCCCATTCTCCCCTCCTCCTCCCCTCCCTCCCCTCCCCACACCCTCCCCTCTTCCCCATTCTCCCTCCTCCTCCCTCCCTCCCCTCCCTCCTCCCTCTTCCCCATTCTCCCCTCCTCCTCCCCTCCTCCCCTCCCTCCTCCTCTTCCCCATTCTCCCTCCTCCCCCTCCCTCCCTCCCCACACCTCCCCTCTTCCCCATTCTCCCCTCCTCCTCCCCCCCCTCCCCCCCCCCCACCCTCCCCTCTTCCCCATTCTCCCCCCCCTCCCCACACCCTCCCCTCTTCCCCATTCTCCCCTCCTCCTCCCCTCCCCCCCCCCCCCTCCCCACACCCTCCCCTCTTCCCCATTCTCCCCTCCCCTTCTGCTCTCCTTGTACCTTCCCCTCCTCCTCCCCTCCCTCCCCTCCCCACACCCTCCCCTCTTCCCCATTCTCCCCTCCTCCTCCCCTCCTTCCCCTCCCCTCCCCACACCCTCCCCTCTTCCCCATTCTCCCCTCCCCTTCTGGTCTCCTTGTACCTTCCCCTCCTCCTCCCTCCCCTCCCCTCCCCACACCCCCCCCTTTTCCCCATTCTCCCCTCCTCCTCCCCCCCCCCCCCTCCCCACACCCTCCCCCCTTCCCCATTCTCCCTCCTCCTCCCCTCCTCCCCTCCCCTCCCCACACCCTCCCCTCCGTCTTCACCCTCCCTTTCCCTCCTCCCTTCTCCCACCCTACTGCCCTGTCACATTTGTCACATGTCATCTGGTCAGTTGATTCAGTAGAAGCCTGTCTTCATATGTTTATTGACTGTTGAAAATAATGCTCACATGTGTTCATTTCCTGTGGCTGCCACAACAAAGTACCACAGAAATGGCGGCTTAGAACAATGTAAATTTATTCTCTCACAGCTCTGAGGACAGACATCAGACATCAGGGTGCCCCAGGCTCTAGAGGAGGGTTCTTCCTGCCTCTTCCAGCCACCGGGGGCTCCAAGCATCCTTGGACTTGTGGCCACAACCACGCTCTTCTCCCTGTGTCTGTGCCTCAGACCTCCTCTCCTTTCTCTTGTGAAGGTACCTATTGCTGGATCAGGGTCCACCCTAAACTCCATTTATTCACATCTTCAAAGACCCTTTCCACATAAGGCCACATTCACAGCACCCGGGCATGGACACATCCTTTTGGAGCGTCAACTTTAAAATTATATAGCCAGTTATTTTACCAGCAAAGTGAGTTTATTCTGGAATATCAAAAGAATTGCAATTTAGGACATGCGCACTGTGGTGAACCACAGGAAAGTCCAAAAAATAGAGAAGGAACTGCTTTTACAGAGAAAAAGGGGGATTGGGAGGGGCTGTTCTAGAAGAAAGCCAGTTGGAGGAGAGTAAGAGTTAAGGTTGGTGATAGCTCCTCATTGGCTGAACTGTGGCACTTTCCATTGGGCTGGGATTGTTGCTAGGCAACAAGGAAATCTTCCTCCCTCCTGCTCGCAGTAAAGCGGAGGAAACTTCCTTTTGGAGATGGAGGTACCTCTCTTCCTGTTAAGGGTCATGGATGAGCGGTATAGTGTGAGACTTGCTCTACAGGCCTTCCCAGCTCCAACTCTAGTTGAGGTTTCCTTTATTGCTTTGCACAGGGATAACCATTCAGCCCGCCACATTGCATTATACTCCTTTCACACAGGTAAATCAGGTGTAATGTTCATTTTTAAGTAGAACTAGGTCAGTGATTTTATGTTCCTTAGTTACACACACGCCTGGAAGACCCTTGGTTCACTACGGAACTGTCCCATGGCACTCCCTAGTATGGGGACTGTCTCTTTTCCATATAGCTCTAGAGGGAAAATGTGATATTTAAAGGAATCTTTGCAGGGCATAAAGAAGAATGACAACATATTAAGTCAAATATTTCAACTATTTCTCTTTTTTTGTTGAATGAAAATATGTTCTGTGAACAACAAGAACAGTGACTGTGGAAAGAAGCAAAAAATGTGAAAGTGCCATGGGCCTTGGAGCAGGGTTAGCCCCAGCAGCTCAACCTGATAAAGTAAGGGATCACAAGCTCTCCTCTCTGTGGTCTCCTCACCTGCAAGACAGCAACACCCGGCCTGCCCACCTGGCCCAGCAAGCGGGCTCCAAGGGGGACCGCATCCCAGGCTTCTTGGAGACCCAGAGAGTTGCTCACAGCCCTGGGTGGGCCTGCCCACAGCACATTGTGAAGGACTCTCAACCAAAATTAGGTTGTCTGGTCCTACTTCAAATTCTGACAGAATTCACATGGCATGGAACACACACTTACTACAAAGAGTTTTATAATAAAATTATTTACTTAGGGCTAACACATTTTAAGGACATCTTCACTGCAGTTCAACTAAAATTAAAAGAAAGCAATAACTCCCTGGCCATTGTTTCCAGGTCCTAAACTTTACTTTATGTCCATCTCCTTTCCTGTTTGTATTGGGCAGAAAACACACACAATTCACATATACACACTGGATGACACAGTGAAAACTCTTGTCTGCAGCTAATCCATGGCTAGGAGACAGAGTGTGTCTTAACCTCAAGTGTCAACATAAAATACAATCAAGTAAATTTCTCTCTGTGGAGAAATGCTGGCTGCACAAATGCTGTCCATGGACATTCAGGCATAGTGTCCCTAGAAAGTGTTGCAGCACAGGGTCGACAACCAGACAAGATGTGACAATCGGAAAGGCGGCAGGTTTAGCTCAAACAAACCAGCACTGCCAACTGGAAGCCGGGCTCAAACCTTGGCTGCCTGTGTGTAAACTAGAGCATCTAGGAAGACCCAGGTCTCGTCATCAGAGATGCTGTGTTCTCAGGTAATCGTTTCTCTTGGGCCCCAATGGGCTTTGCCTTCTCAGTATCTGGAAATTATGTGTGAGACGACACTGAGAGCTGTCGGGGAGTTCTCCTCACCTGAAGCTGGGAGCACATCTTCCCTTCTTCTCCACCTGGTCTTCCTCTTCACTGACCATGCAGGGCCTGCCTGTACGGTGTCTAACATCACAAGAGGAAGGAAGACACTGTGAATAAGTGGTGGGCAGTGGTACCAAAGGTCTGGGCAGAGGAGCAAGAACAATTGATTACCCAACCAGTGACCAGTGGATCATTGATACAGGCCCTTGCCTTCAGTCGCTGCTGCCTGGCAACACACACTTGTCCCTGGAGTCAGCAGTTTCTGGGGTGGTCCTAGACCCTATGTGTTCATTAATGCAGGAAAATGCCTCAGCTGGAACCCCTTGAAGACACCTAAGTTGGAAAAGTAACATTTAGCACACTGACTTTTCTACAGTGACAGGTGCAGTTTGCTTCTTCTGTCCCAGCTTGCTCCTCCTCTGTTCTGGCTTTTCCTCCTCTGTTCTGGCTTTTCCTCCTCTGTTCTGGCTTGTTCCTCCTCTGTTCTGGCTTGTTCTTCCCCTGTTCCAGCTTTCTCCTCCTCTGTTCCATCTTGTTCCAGCTCCTGAGAGTTTGCTTTGTCTCTCCTTTGAACATAAAATTAACCTAATTTCCAAATTATAAATGTAACTTTTCAGAATTCATTTCAAGAGTATCATATTCAAATCATTCATCATTCATTCAACCAATAGTAACCAAGCAGCTGTGTCTTAATTAGCGACATGAGGATACTGCTTTTGTTCCTAGCCATTTTAATATTGTAGCCCCAGGACATCAGATCCCTCCTCTCACTGTCCCATGGTCTACAGGCTGAATTCAGAAAAAGCTCACATGAATGACCTACTCAATTAGGAAGATGTCTAATGAGAAAAGTCCCACATGAATGTGATGTCTGTTCCCCCGTCCACATAAGAAAGCTTGGAGTTCATTGCAGAACTGGAACATTTGGGAGCCTAAAGATTTTACCAATAGCTGGTGATATATTCTAGAAAATACATGAATGTTCATGAAAAAAATTTACTCTTAAGGATACTATACAATTGCAGCCCATCAAGTGGTGAAGAGATAGACAGAATATGATCCACCTTACAAAGGAATAATACCCAGCCATGGAAAGGAATAAAACTCTGACACAGGCAATGTCATGGACGAACCTCAAAAGCAATTATACTGAGTGAAAGAAGCCAAACAAGAGACCACATAGTGTGGCTCCATTTATATGAGTGGTCCACAACAGGTAAATTTACAGACACAAGGGAGATGGGTGGTTGCCTGGGGTCATGGTGGGAGCAGAGTCGCACTGCGAAGGTGTGAAGAGTCTTTTTGGAGGGATGAAGATGTTCTAAGACTGATGTGATGGCTGTACCACTTGGTAAAGTCACTAAAAACCCCTCAATTGTCCACTTGAAATGGGTGAATTTTATATGTCTCAACTTAAAAAGCAAATTTGCCCATTGTTTTACCCTCCAAAGGAGTTTATGTGGGAATAGCCAAAAGAATTGCAATTCCAATGTGCATGCTATGGGAAACACCAGGCAAATCTAGAGAACGGAGGAGGGAGCTCCTTTTACAGAGGAAAAGGGGGAGGGACGGGGCTATTCTAAAGGAAAGTCCACTGGGAGAGAGTAAGAGTTCAGGGTGGTGATGGCTTCTCATTGGCTGGGCTTCAGGTGTTTCTCACTGGCTGAGCTGTGGTGGTTCTCATTGTCTGGGCTGTGGTGGTTCTCATTGGCTGAGCTGTGGCATTTCTCATTGGCTGGGCTGCGGTGGTTCTTATTGGCTGAGCTGTGGGGTTCTCATTGGCTGAGCTGCAGTGGTTCTTATTGGCTAGGCTGCAGTGTTTCTCATTGCCTGAGCTGCTGCATTTCTCATTGGCTGAGCTGCAGTGGTTCTTATTGGCTGAGCCATGGTGGTTCTCATTGGCTGGGCTGCAGCATGTCTCATTGGCCGGGCTGCAGGTGTTTCTCACTGGCTGAGCTGTGGTGGTTCTCGTTGGCTGGGCTGCCACACTTCTCATTGGCTGAGCTGCAGTAGTTCTTATTGGCTGGGCTGCGGTGTTTCTCATTGGCTGGGCTGCCACATTTCTCATTGGCTGGACTGCAGTGGTTCTTATTAGCTGAGCTGCCACACTTCTCATTGGCTGGGCTGCAGTGGTTCTTATTAGCTGAGCTGCGACATTTCTCATTGGCTGAGCTGCAGTGGTTCTCATTGGCTGGGCTGCCGGTTGGGAGAGAAATCTTCCTTCAGTAGTAAAGTAGATATCCTTCTTGTCTGAGATGCATGCACTGATGGGGCATGAGAGCTCCCCCTACAGGCCTTTCCAACTCCGGCTTAGTTAAGGCTTTTTTAATTAATTTCCGCATACATAAAATATACATCAATAAAGCTGTTTTTTTAATTTTAAAAATGCTGCGGACTTTTCTGGCCCAGCTAAAATGAGAAAGCCATTAACAGAGTTATAAGATGTCAGCACTAAAAGAAGTGAAGGAAGAGGCTTATAGCCAGGAAAGCAAAACCTGGGTTGGTTCATGGTGCCCCACTGGGTCTCAGTTTCCAGTGCCCACTGGCCAGCTCTGGCCAAGCTGGTCCCTCTCCCCACAGGGGCAGCGCTGGCCTTGGGTGGTTGCAAGGCTGGGAGGATGGGCCTGCTTGCTTTCTCTGTGATATGGCTCATCCCCTGTAAAGTGCAGTGTGGGCACAGCACCGCATAGCAAGCCCACAGCCCGGGGCCACTGCTATCTCCTTCAAGGTGATGCACGAGGGCGAGGCTCACCGTCTCTGGGCTGATGCACAAGGGCGAGGTCCCCCCTTCTCTGGGGTGACACACGAGGTCGAGTCCCCCCCTTCTCTGGAGTGCCTCCCGAGGTCAAGGCCCCTCCTTCTCTGGGGGGATGCATGAGGGCGAGGACCCCCCTTCTCTGGGGTGATGCATGAGGGTGATGTCCCCCTTCTCTGGGGTAATACACGAGGGCGGGGACCTCCCCTCCTCTGTGTGATGCACGAGGGCAAGGACCCTCACTCTCCTTAGGAGGATGCCTGCCCCTGGGGTGCCCTCACTCCCCGTGGATAGATTTTACAACACTTTGGGAAATCCATATTAGAAAATAAATTAAGATGACATTATTGAGTATACAAATGTTTCTTCCCAAGGTGTCTTAGGTAGTGAGCACTCTTGGTGAAACTAAAATATTCCATTTTTACATGTTTATTTATGCCCTGCTTCTCAGGAACATGCCTGTCCTGTATTGTGTGGCCCGCTTACATTTCCCACCAGAAATGGAACAAGTTCTCGTGGAACCCCACTATTTTCACACATGATTTTCTCCTTGCATTTGTGGCAGGCTGAGCAGCTGCCTTCAAACCAGAGGAATACTTCATCTTTGACCAGGTCTCTTTCCGTTGTCCAGCCGATGTCAACACCAACGGCAGCAGCTTTTGCGGACAAGATGCGCTTGCTGAGCTGCTGTGCCTTGAGGCTAAAGGATGGCTGCCCAGCACAGGAGACCCACCTGACCAGGTGCCCAGGCAGGTGCTGGAAGTCAACCAGGAGCTGCTGCAGTCCGGGGTTGTCTCCCTCCCAGGTGAGCATGGCTGTCTGACTCCGTTCACGCTGCTATAACAAAATACCACAGACTAGGTAGCTTATGAGCAACAGAAACTTATTTCCCACAGTTCTGGAGGCTGGACCTCCGGAGTCAAGGTGCCAGCAAGGTTGGGTTCTGGTGAGGGCTGACTTCCCAGTTCAGAGTTGGCGCCTTCTCACTGTGTTCTTACATGGTGGAAAGGGCAAGGTTGCCCTGTGGGGTCTCTTTTATAAAGGCACTAATCTCATTCATGAAGGCTCCACCCTCATGACCTAAACACCTCCCAAGGGCCCCACCTCCAAATACCATCAAATCAGGCATTAGGATTTCAACATATGATTTTGAGGGGAACACAAACATTCAAACCATATCAATGGCTGTCACCTGCCAGGTGAACACCAGGCTCTCCTCTCCTTGCAAATCTCACATCTAAGCCAACAGTTTGCAGACCCCAGTTTGGTATTTCTCAAGCTTGAAACCACACAAGCCCCCTTTCATGATGCCCTCTGTTTCTGCAGGGACCCGAGACCGCCAGGGAAGAGCAGCGGTGCAGGTCTGCACGAGGGGCCCACTCTGGTCCAGCAAACATGCCTCAAGTGCCGAGCTGACCCGCCTGCTGAAGTACCTCCATGGCATCCCCAGGTGAGACTGAACCAGGTTCCCATCTTTCAGACCCCTTTGGGGAGACACCTGGGTGAGCGTGTGTCCTCACCTCCCAGCTGTAACCTGGGAGGCTTCTGGTGGCGTGGGCGGCCTTCTCCTGCCTGCCCCTCAGGCTCCTGCTCTCTGGCCCCTCGCTGCTGCCAGCCCCATGTGACACCTCTCCCCTCTTTCCCAGGTCCTCAGCTGCCCCCACACACTGCTCCCCCCACTCACCCTGGCCTCTCCCTTCTGAATCGAGGCTCTGCCACACACTCTAGCCCTGAATTCTGCACTGCTCTACCTTGTTCAGAACTTGCTGTAAGCATGTTTATCGACGTGTTTTATACTCCACCTTTTCCTAAAAAAGATTTGAAGTGGCCTTGGATAAAGACATGAACTGACATAAATGGAACATTTAGAACAAATGGGTGAAGAAATCACACAAATGAGTGGTATATGATACCAGGAAGCAGGAAAGACCAACTCGTGCTAACTGAGCCATATGTTCGGCTGGGCAGTGCTACATGCCAGCTCCTCAAGAGAGACACAACCTTCCTCCTCTGAAACTCTAGGTGGACCACGCTGCCCAGACGCTGCATCAGGGCAACAGTGTGGGCAGGTCTGATCAGGAAACAGACGTGACCGGGTAACCTCCAGGGCTGTGGTTCTGGGTGTCTCCATGGACCAAGGACAGAGACGAGAGCTAGAGTCAAGGACAGTTAAAGTGCATTATTTAGGGCCCCTCAGTCCCATCAGATGCAGACACGCTTTGGATGGCCCTCATGGCTGCCAGACCAAGAGTCCCCCGCGGTGCTAGGTGGAGGTAGCCCCCAGGGGAGGCAACGTCACCCAATGGACAAGCTCGGTCCTGAGGTCAGACTGCCCTGGTTTGAAGTCCAGCTCTGCCCTTACTGCCTGGGGAAGATGGTGTACCTCAATGTACACCAGAGTGAAACAAGATGGTAACAGCTGTCTCAAAGTTGTGTTAGAGGGAGTAGAAATCATCTACAAAAATTCCCCAGACTGAAGAGGGAGCATCGTCTTCCACGATATATCACCTGCTGTGATCTCACTCAACAACAGTCACACGGTACACATCCTGGGATGTGAGCTCATGTGAGAACATGTCATGTGATAGTCCACACGTGAGCTCTCGTTGGAACATGTTACATGGTACCATCACATGATGTGAGAACATGTTATGTGGTGCATCATCACATGTGATCTCATGTTCCTTCTATTGCCATTTCTTCTGAAGCAGCATACGTAGAGCCAGTGCAGGAACATTTAAGCAGAAAGAGATTGCAGTGTTCTCCCAGTGCTTCTTCCCCAGAGCGAGGCTCCCAGTCCTCTGCGGGGCACTAGTCTTACTGCCTTTGGGTGAGCCTGGGATTTCAAACTTATCCTTCAGCATGGATTTCAAAATATAATGAAACTACTCTGAGAAAAAGTAGAGATTCATCCTCATATTAGTCTAAATCTGGTGAGCCTCAGGCAAACACCATCAAAGCCCTAGGATAATGACATTTTCTGTTTAGCAAAAGCTTTCTTTTATGGGAGGCTCCAGAATTAACCTGGGCAGTAATGGAAAGCGACGCTGATGGACAAGGGTGAGAGCCTTGTGCCCTTTTGGCGTGTGCACCCTCCCACATACTCAGCCTCTTTCAGCTGGCGAGCTGCGTGACATGTTCTCTGTTTGCAATGAAATGCCTGAGAGGAGAGGGGTCAGGTGACTTGTGGGGTCAGCAGGGCCAGGACTTGAGTCTGGATCTTCAGCCCTCTGCTTGTTGAGCTCTGCCACAGCCAATTCAGACAGCCCAACTCTCCTCACCAGAGAAGGCAACTTCACCAGCTCACGAAGCTCTGGGAGAAGGCCTCTGCTGAGAAAATGTTCCTACAGCACTTAGGGACACGCACTCTGGAGCCTCATGGGTTGGCTGATTATTTCCTCACCAGCGCTGCAATCTTCTTAGCATCTGATAGATTATTGCACCTTACTTAGCACTTACATTGTATTAGATATTATAAATAATCTAGAGATGATTTAAAGTGTACAGGAGGATGTGCACAGGTTATATGCAAATACTATGCCATTTTCAGTAAGGGACTTGAGCATCTGCTGATCTTGGTATGCACGATGTCCTGGCACCAATCCCCCCTATAGGGAGAGATGACTGTAAATTCCATGTTTGCTCGTAGGCTCTGCTCTCAACGAGCTGCTGGGCTCAAAACTCAGAAACCAGGATGTCATCCAGTTTTACATTCATATTCTGCTCAAGGCTTGGAAATTCCTTTGAGATTTTAGTCTTTCTTAATTGTATGCAATTTTATACAACAGTAGATTCAGAAATTGCCCAGCTGGAAGTTTTTTAAGAAAATAGATAGTTGGCTACTTTCCAGAAGGACTTGGAAGTTCTGTTCAAAGATGGGACTGAGTGTTGGTGACCCCTAAGATTTCTTCAGAGTCCTGTGATTTTGCTAAAAGAAGGTTTTTATCTGAACTTCCTGGTTGGTTGTAATCCGACTGGACAAGGAGATGGCATCTGTTTATATTTCAGAAACCCATTTCTCCAAAGTTGGTGGTTTGCTCTAGGAGCCTCCAATCAGTAACATTGGTCAGCAGCCACATAAATAGCAACTTGTAAAAACAGGAGAGGAAAACAGCTTTTCTTTGTTTTTACCTCCAAAACCAAACTAAAATGTCATCATTGATGAAATTATTTTGAAAAATGTAACCAGAAGTTTTGATCAAATTCCTAGAAATCCTTTCATCCGCTTCAGCAGCTTGTTGGAAACAACTGTGCAATCACCTTAAGGAGCTGCGGATCTGCAGGGCGCACCCGCACCGGTGCTCCGTCCAACGCCGCAGATTCCGGGGCCCACGCTCCTCGAGCCAGAGCGTTTTGGAACTTCTTTTCGGGTCTCTGGTGACCTTGTGGGAAGCCTTGAAGAGCCTCAGAGGCCAAAAGGGAGCCCGCAGCTCCAGGCTGCACCGACGAAAGCCCCGCTGGAGGCCCCGCCTGTCTTCCCTCGCGTGGAGGCAGCCCCACCTCCCACCCCCCGCGCCCCGGCCGTCCTCAGGTCGTGCTGCGGCCCCACGAGGGAGCCGGGAGCGCTGCCAGGCGACCGCGGCAAGCTGTCCTGGCTCCTCACCCCACCCCCACCCCGCCTCCCTCGTTGTCCCTTCCCCCTCTCCCTTCCTTCCCACGTCGCCGCTGTAACTTCCACCTGCAGCCCCTGGGTGGTGCTGGGGGCCGAGGGGGAGCCTTGCCGGTCCTCACCCTCGCTCCCCAGGCCCCCTGCGCCCTTGCCGACCTGCTCATTAGCCCTCAATCAGTCAGCAAACGTGTTCATTAGCTGCCCCGGAGAGGGCTGTGATGAGCAGCATTTGACATGTGTTTTCGCTGGAAGCCTGGAAATCCAGCGACTCGCCTCAGGACCCAGCATGACACCGGCCCGGCCAGCAGGGCCCTGGAGATGCACGGGACCCCTGTCACGGCGGCAAGGGGCTCAGGGGAGGCTGTCGTCGGTGGCGGCCCTAGGAGGTGCAGCTTCCAGAGAGGGTGCAGCTTCGAGGGGTGTTGAAGCTTCAGGGCGGGGGTGCAGCTTCGAAGCGGGGTGCAGCTTCGAGGGGGCTGCAGCTCTGAGGGGGAGTGCAGCTTCGAGGGGGGTGCAGCTCTGAGGGGGAGTGCAGCTTCCAGGGGGTTACAGCTTCGAGGGGAGTGCAGCTTCCAGGCGGGGTGCAGCTTCCAGAGAGGATGCAGCTTCGAGGGGGGTTGCAGCTTCAGGGCGGGGGTGCAGCTTCGAAGGGGAGTCCAGCTTCCGGGGGGTGCAGCTCTGGGGGGGGGTGCAGCTTCGAGGGGGGTGCAGCCTCGATGGTGGGAACGCGGCGGAACTCGGGCTGGCGCCGGGAGGCAGAGCCGCGTGCACCGCGGAGGGCGGGCTGGCGCGGGGACCGGGGTCCCGCCGTCCCTCGCTGCGCTTGGGCTCCTCGGCGCTTCCCGACGCCGCTCGGGTCCGGCCTCAGACTGAGAGGGTGGGCCCTCCGTCAGGGTCCACACTTCCCGCCGCAGCCCAGGCCGCCCGCCGTCCCGAGCTCGGCGCGGGACGGACAGAACCGCCCAGACCGCGGGCCCCGCCGCGACCGGCTGCAGCGCTTCCCGGTTCGGACGCCCCTAAATCGTGCGCTCGCAACCGCGGGGAGACCGAGTCTGGCGGGCCCTCCACCCACAGCCCCGCAGCCGGGAGGGGCGCCGTGACGCCTGTCTTCTGCTCTCAAGTGAGTCTTCGGGGGAAGCTCGCGGCGCGTTCAGGGGGGAACCGGCTCCGCTCCGCCTGCGGGGGGACTTGCGATCCGAGGACGCGGAGCGAAAACCAGCTGGAATTCGAGGCTCATGTTCCCGTTTTCAGATTCAGTTCTGAGAATATACAAAAGTAGTTGTTTTTTTCAGAGAGGGCAAAAAAACACAAGCCTTTTTCATAACTACTTATACTTCAAATTTATTAAATTATTGAAGTTCAGATGCCATGAAGAGCTTTCCATTTTGAAAAGGAAATAGTGATATTTTCCTTTGGTTGAAGAAAATCCTAAGAATTTGCTCATCCCTGCCCTACCCACGACACGTAACTATTATATACTAATGTGGGTAATTGCCCTGAGTATTCTCTTCTCTCACCTATCTGAGAATATTAATTTTCTTTGCAATAGTAACAAATCCTAGCAGTAAAAATTCACTCAAATAGGAATATATTGAGAAATATAAAACACTTTACAAACCTGTTTGTTGTTTTAATGCATGATAGCTCAAAATTTCAGCTAAAATGAGTGAGAGAAAGAGAATACATCTCTAAAATGGGAAAGCAAGATGGTTTTTTTCTGTGGCTTATTTGTTCAATAAATATTTATAGAATGTCATCCACAAGAAGCCACTTAACAAAAATATAAGTATATAAGATGAATTTAATACAATTAAGAGGTCTCAGTTCTGAGGCCCATCCAGTAAGTGCATTTCAAAATAGAGAATTAGAAAAATTCTAAAATCTGTTTATCACTACAAGAAACTGTTAAAAAGTAAAGCTTTAGGGAATATGAATGAAAAAGCACTATGTAAATAAAAGCATTTTAATTGCTGAATGATCTGGCCTCAGTATAGTCTAGCAAACAGGAACCAAGGAGATTTGATTAAAGTCATTAACGCGTCAAAAATAAGATTTTTCCAACCACTAGGGTTGGAACTATTGGACATCTATATGCAAAAGAAAAGAAAAAAAAAGAAATCCTCCACACATACCTCATACTATATACAAAAATTAACTAAAAGTGGCTCATAAACCTACGTATAAAGCCTAAAACCACAGAGCCACCAGAAGAAGACGTAGAAAATCTGCATGACTTTGGTTTAGGCAAAGATTTAACTATGACACCAATAGCATAATCCGTAAAAGAAAAAATGATGTATAGGACTTCATCAAAATAAAAAAGTTCTCTTTGAAAGATACTGTTACTAAAATGAAAATACAAGCCATGGACTATGAGAAAATGTTTGTAAAACACGTGTCTGATGAAGGACTCATATCCAGAATATATAAAGTCTCAAAACTCAAGAAAGCAAACAACCCAATAAAATATGGGCAAAAGATTTGAACACACTTCACCAAACAAAATATATGAATGACAAATAAGCACATAAAGATATATTTAACGTCATTAGTCAAAGGAGAGATGCAACTTAAAACCAAAATGAGATAACGCTCACCGAACAACAAAACTTGACAATAACAAGTGCTTGGTATTGCTAGTGCAGATGCAAAATGGCATAGCCACTCTGGAAAACTGGCTGTTTCTTCAGAAGTTAAACATACGTTTGTCATAGGACCCAGCAATCCCACTGCTAGATATTTACCTAGAAGAAATGAAAACTTATGTTCACACAGTGTTTGTAGTGGCTTCATTTGTGATTGCCAAAAAGTGGAAACAACCCAAATGTCCTTCAACTGGTGAACAGGTGAACAGACCTTGGCACCTGCACACAGTGGAATACTACCCAGCAATGAAAAGGAAGGAACTACAGATAGTCACAGCAACCTTCAGATGAACCACACGGAGTGAAAGAAGCCAGTGCTGAGTCCATTTATATGACATCTGGAAAAGGCAAATTTATTGAGACAGAACGCAGATCAGTGGTTGCCAGGGCCTGGGGGCCCTGACTACAAAGGGGATGAGGGAATTTGGAGGATGCTAAGCTCTTCTATGTCTTGGTTGTGGTGATAGTTACATGACTATAAGTTATGTCGAAACTTAGGGAACCATACACTAAAAAGGGTGAATTCTATTGTGTGTAAATTATAACCAATAAACCTGATTACATTTAAAATTCATAAGGGCAAATAATTTACATTCAGAGCAAAGGCAACTGCATTTTATCCATTCTAGGTACTTTGGGAAAATATCAAAGTAGAAGTAGCGTCAGTCAAAATTGGACAATTCTATTAACTCAATGAAGTTAAAAATTAGAAAGCTAATCAATATTTCTTTCTTACTTTTTTCAGAACACATCTCCTCCCATGATTCATAGTGTTATGCTGTTGGTGGAGAAAGAATCAGCATTTAGGCCTGACAAGGATGCAAAAGTCCAGGTAGTGGTTTCAGACCCTTGGCATTAGATGTGACTGAATGATGCACAAAATTAAATACTAAGGCACCTAGAGGAGATGAAATGTAGGAAAGAATTTGTGTAAGTCCTGGTTGCATCTGTATAGGGCCTGGAACCCTGTGTCCCGTCCCTCAGTTCTTGCAGGAGCCTACAGAGCACAGCGGCAGAAAACGTTTTAAAATCTGATCTCTCTTCTCCACCACATTTGTTTTCTTTCCTTCTCTTTCTTCCTGCCTCTTTCTCTTTTATCTGAAAGCATCTTTACTTTGCCTTCATTCTTGAAGGATATTTTCATTAGATATAGAATTCTGACTTTACAGCAGTTTTCTTGTTTGTTTGCTTTTCCAGCTCTTTAAAGATGTTCTGTTGTCTTCTGGCCTCCATGGTTCCTGAAAAAAAGTTCATAGAAAAAGTTCAAATAAGTGTTCATTATAGGAAATGCGCCATTTTCCTCTAACTACTTCCAAGATTTTCGTTCTTTTTAGCAAACTGACTATAATGTCACTATATTTATCCTGTTAGGTTTGGCTGAACTTCTTGGACTTTTAAATTTATATCTAGGAAGTTTTCAGTCATTATTTCTCAAAATGTTTTTTCTGTCTCATTCTCTCCTTTCTAGGACTTCAATTACACCTACTGACATTGTCCCATAGGTTTTTGAGAATCTATTAATATATCTATTATTTTTTCTCTCTCTTCACATCAGATTGTTTCTGTTGATCTGTTTTCAAGATCACTAACTCCATACTCTGTCATCTCCATTCAGCTATTCAGCGCATCCAGTGAACTTTCTAGTTCAGATATTGTATTATTCAACTGTAAAATTTCCAGTGAGTTTTAAAATGTATTTTCTATTATCTCTTCTGAGAATTCCTATCCTCTCATTAATTGCAGGCATTTTTGCTTTACGTCACTGAGCATAGTTATAATAGCTGCTTTAAAGTCTTTGCCTAATAATTACAACATCTGGGTCTTCTCTGGGTTGACCTCTGTTGATTGTCTTTTCCCTTGAAAATGAGTCACATTTTCCTGATTCTTTATGTGTCAAGCAATTTGGGGTTGTATCCTGGACACTGCAAATGTTCTGTTATAGAGACTGGATTCTGTTACAAACCTCCACAAAGTACTGTTCTAACATGCTTTTAGCTTGGTTAGACTCAAAGTGAAAACTATACACTGTGTAGGTTTGGCTCAGTCCTTTTTGCCTTCAGCTGTGGAGTCTTCCCCGTGCATGCATGGTTTAGGGTCAGCTAGAGTCCTGGGCAGAGCTTACACATGACTGGAACTCCTTTCCACAGCCTTCTCCCTTGTGGGGATTGATCCTCACTTTCCACCCTGCCTCCATCCTCTGATTCTTCAGGTCAGAAAGAGGCCTGTTTTCTGTCAGAGCTGCAGCCGCTCCAGTCTCCCATTTGGGCAGCCTGCCTTCAGGCCAAAGCCACGTAAACGGCAGCTCCCCCTCTCTGGTCCCTTCATCCAGGGTCTGCGTTCCATCCACAGTAAGCTGGGCGTGGTTCACTCCCCAGAGCTCTCAGATGGCATCCTTCTGCTCTGTCCTGACAGCGGCCCACTGCCTCCCCCGGAGCAGTGCATCCTGGCTCATTCTCCCTCCTCTTCCTCTTCCTGCTCTTTTCTTCTCCCCTGGTCATCTTGCCCTTTCTTCTTTGCCAGTTTTTCCACTTTTTGTCTTTCCCTCGTTGGGCCTTCCCTACCTTTCTCTTTGCTCTCTCTCCTTTCACTTCTTCTCACTGTCATTCCTGTCTCCAACCACAGTCGGTCCATTAGCACCACCAGCAAGGCAGGACAGCAGAATCCTAAGCTGCCTCACGATCCCCCCACCCCACAGTAGCAGTTACCCCAGCAATGAGCCGTCACAGTGGTTTCCCCTGAGGGACGCGCCTGTGGCCGTAACCATGAACGCCTCTCCTTGGCAGTGTGAGCTGGTCGGCTCCCTGAAGGCCCTGCACAAGCTCATTGACAGCGCCCAGCTGGCCATAGACCTTGGAGGCTCTTTTCCCTACAACCACAGTGACTGGATCTGCTTCCGCAGGGTAAGGGCAGCTCGAGGTGCTGTGGGGGCTTCTCCTCTTTGGGAGGTTTCACTCAAATCTGAGAAGGACATCGCCACCCACCTCATGCCTGTCCTAGTGCCCTCCACAGTCTGTTTCTGGACAGCACACTGTGGCAGCCTGAGGGTGCTGCTGGAACCCAGCGCTGAGAGGGGAAGGCACTGCTCCAGGTGCTCCTGTGGACACCCAGCAGTCACTGAGCGACACCACGAAAGGCTTTACAACCTGAGGTGGTCTCGCCGCGGGAACTCACAGCTGCTTACTCAGCCTCTGACAGAACATGTCTTTATCGTCTCCTCCCTCACAAACCACGACAAAAGCTGGAGCCCTTCACCACGAACTGTGAGGAAGCCATTGTTTTCCTACAAAGTTCAGTCTGCTCCCTAAACACCCACAGGACCCCCAGCACAGCACAGGTAGCTTCCCATGTTTTCCCCGTTATTTTATTTGACAGATAGGTGGGAACGTAGAGGTTTGGCCAAAACTTGAAAATAAATGTTTGGTTTCACCATCATCTGTAGCAGAGATTTTCAAACCCCTTTGGGTTTATAAATCCTTTTTGATTAACAAAAGACTTTCAAAAGACCACTTGCTTCCCCTCGTGACCAAAAGAATCCCACCCTGCCCAGAAGAGAAGCACTTGCTGATACGCCAACAACGCAGAACAGTAATTCAGAGTGAGTAATTCAGACGACGCAGAAATGGACTGGCCAGAGGGACCTCCAGCCTGGAGACCCAGGGCCTGGACGCGCCTCCTGGGTGCCCGGGGTGTGTAGGCAGGATCCGCGGTCCCTGTGTGAAACCAGTTCTCCTGCTGCTGAGTTTTAAGCTTCCCTCTTTTTTCCCTGCCTACGGGTCTCAACCTCAGACTTCCCTTCCCTTGGGTGAGGGCACCTGGAACTCTGCTACCTTTCTGCGAGGACCGGGTGTCAAGTGGGGATGCAGCCATCCTGCCACGCGTTTAGCTTAATTGATGAAAGCAGGAATGTGGGTCACACCTAACATTCCCACCTAGTGTTAGACTTGGGAGGACCTGCCCTGGAGGAGGGGGTTCTATACACATTCCTCCCACACATGCAGGAGGTCATGGAGTCGATCAGCAAGCACAAGGCAACGATGAAGCATGTCCTGGAAGATGCCCTGCTGGTTGCTCTCCGGCTGGAAGGTGGCACGGTGCTGGCGCGGCTGAGGAGGGAGGAGCCTGGCGCCAGTGAAGACTGTCAGTAAGTGTTGCGCTGGGACAGTGCTGGGCCACAGCCCATCCCAGAGGTGACACACAGTGCTCTGCCCCATCAGGGGAGGCCCCTCTCTGTCACATGCAGGGTCTCCAAGGACCCCAAACGTCCATTCCTTCTGACGGCTGCTTCCACTGGACCAGAGCTCATCTGCATTTGTTTACTCAGAGGAAGAACTAGCAGATTCCTTGGAGAGCTGAGTGGAAGACATGACCTGTCACAGCAGGAGCCAGCAGTCAAGGTCCTGCCCAAAGCCTTCTTCATCTATTCTGTCCTGGGGCGCAACATCCACCCACTCGCACTTCCCTGCCCCTCCAAGGCCCTGCGCCACTTGCTGCGGGTGTCTTCATGCTCCTGCTCTGGCTGTGGGCCTCCTCGGGCTTCCATTCTATCAGACGTGAGGTTGTACAAAGGGTGCAGTTGTGCTTTTAACCAGGTCGTCACCAACACGCATTGCTCAGGAGACCGTCTGTGAACAAGCTGGTGATCAGGACGCCACCCCTGACTGCTGCCTTCTCTTTCCAGAGACACCATCGAGGCCACCTCCAGGCTGTACCACCAAGTGGATGAAGAGGTCCACAGGCTCGTCCTTGCGTCCAACCAGTGTCTGCAGGAGCTGGAGAGTCTACGGGAATGGAGGATGCTCCAGGAGGGAGCTGAGCAGGTCAGTGCTCCAGGAGGGAGGTGATGGGTCAGTGCTCCAGGAGGGAGCTGAGCAGGTCAGTGCTCCAGGAGGGAGCTGAGCAGGTTAGTGCTCCAGGAGGGAGGTGACAGGTCAGTGCTCCAGAAGGGAGCTGAGCAGGTCATTGCTCCAGGAGGGAGCTGAGCAGGTTAGTGCTCCAGGAGGGAGCTGAGCAGGTCAGTGCTCCAGGAGGGAGCTGAGCAGGTACATTGCTCCAGGAGGGAGCTGAGCAGGTTAGTGCTCCAGGAGGGAGGTGACGGGTCAGTGCTCTAGGAGGGAGGTGATGGGTCAGTGCTCCAGGAGGGAGCTGAGCAGGTCATTGCTGCAGGAGGGAGGTGAGCAGGTCATTGCTGCAGGAGGGAGGTGACGGGTCAGTGCTCCAGGAGGGAGGTGATGGGTCAGTGCTCCAGGAGGGAGGTAACCGGTCAGTGCTCCATGAGGGAGCTGAGCAGGTTAGTGCTCCAGGAGGGAGGTGATGGGTCAGTGCTCCAAGAGGGAGGTGACAGGTCAGTGCTCCAGGAGGGAGGTGATGGGTCAGTGCTCCAAGAGGGAGGTGACAGGTCAGTGCTCCAGCGAGTAGAGCCAAAAGAGAAAAATATTTTGAATCTCTGCCACCTGAAATAACCAAGTGTTAATACTCAATATAAAAGAATCCAGACTTTAGTCCATATATATATGTGTACAAATTCTTTTCAAAAGCTTGTACATACTTTTAGTAAAACTGTTGTCATTTGATAAACCAGTTTCCATGTAAATCAATGTGAAGACAGTAGCCCGCTGTGTAAGGGGAAGAGAAGAGGAGCTGGCGGATGTCTCTGGGTCCTCGTCCGTCCTCTGCATTCCTTGAGTTGTCAGGTGACCTTCATGGTGGTCAGGGCAGCAAGATCACCACTGCCAGGGCATCTGCAGGCGGGGTGGGGTCTGGATGCTCTGCATCTTCCCCTCCCTCGTCTCCCACAACCAACTCCAGGTCCCAGCCATGGGCCAGTGGGGGACCTGTCGGTGGGAGGTGATGACTGGCTGATCCAGGCTGCAGGGCAGGGGAGCCGGAGCCCCGAGCACCTCCAGGGAAAGTACCCACAAGAGCCCAAGCCAGCTCACACCGTCCCTGGTGGTGGCTGCCCTGGCACGGCTCGGACAGCCCAACCTGGGGGGGCTGGCCTGCCTGGGGGCAGCTCTGTCCTGTGGGATGTCCTGTGGGGTCTTCTCCTCCTCCATCTTGTGGGGCCTCCTCTCTGTCCTGTGGGGTCTTCTCCTCCTCTATCCTGTGGGGTCTCTTGTCTGTCCTCTGGGGTGCACTGCATCCTGTCAGGTCTCCTCTATCCTGTGGGGTCTCCTCTCTGTCTTCTGGGGTCTCCTATTTCACATACCCCAAGTCTTCCCCTTTCTTCATTTTTCCCTTGTTTTGAGCAGATGACCCTCAGGATGTTCCAGAGAAAGGGATGGTGGGATGGAGATTCTGAGACCGTGCGTATCTGACAGTGTTGTTTTCCACCTTTGCCTTTCGCGGTGGTTAGTTTCCATCCTGAAGTTTGGAGGCACAGTCTCATGGCCTTACCTTCACATGCTGTAGTCCAGAAGGCCTGTCCACTCTGCCCTTGACCGTGGCCTGTGCCCAGCTTCCCTTGGATGCTTGGACACCTTCTAGTCTCCCCAGCTGCCCACCCTGGGAGCGGAGGGCTGCAGGCTCCTCTCTGACCCGTGTTGCTCTGCTCTGGGTCTCTCGGTCTTCTTCAATGAGCTCTCCTGTTTCCTAGGATTCCACACTTCCCTCTGGTTCAGTAGTTTCTTTCCTGTTCTGTTGTCCCCGTCGTTGACTTTTTGCTCTACTTTCACTGCTATTTTCTCGACTTTATCTTCTAACCCATTTGAATGTTTTGCTTGTGCTGTAAATTTTTAATTTCCAGGGAGTTTTGTGTGTTTTCGGAGTGTGCCTTCCTTACGGCAGCCTGCCTTCTCCTGGCTGGGATACTGATTGATGTCTGCACAGCCTCTGCCCCCTCCTGGGGGTTTCTGCAGGTTTCATCTGGCTTCTGTTTTGCATGCCAGAGGCTTTCCTGGAGATCCTGAGGTCAGAGTGGGGACGGGGCTGAGTGGAGGCTGGCAAGGGGAGTGCCCTGTCAGGGGGTTGGCTTATCAGGTCCTCCAGAGATGACACCTCTGATCCACCTGGAGGAGAAACTCAGCATCTGCTGGCCCCTGCCTAACTCAGCCCACCCCCAGAGAGCACCCCCAGGCCCCCACCTCTCCACAGCCCCCCTGTCTCCTTCACCCGTCTTCAGCTTCGCCATCTGCTCAGGACTCCCAGAGGCCCTCCCGCTGCCCCTCCCTCTCAGCCTCCCTGCTGTCCCCATTCCTGATACCTTGGGACAGTTTACAAGAACTTCAGGAGGGAGCAAAATTAGATATGTGTTACTCTGCCATCTTCACCCAAAACTAAATACATTTTAACCTAAAAATGGGATCATTCTATATGTATAGTGTGTTGTGTTTTTTTACCTAAGAAATACACACGCACTGTGGAAGAATTAGAAAAGAAACAGGTTTTTATAGAAGTGAGGGCATGCTGCACACGGCTGCCTGTGTCGGCTTTGTCTGGGGGGCGCTGTGAGCCAGCCCCACATGCTGGCCCCTCGTTGTCCCTGCCCCACTGTCTGCTCCTACACATCACCACACTGTAGTTGTTCACTCTGGACAAATGCCCAGGCTGCGGATGGAGCACACTCTCTGAGGTTTTACACATTTGCAAACAGGCGGCCCCACCAGATGCTGGGCCAGCCTTTGAGACCCCGCCTCCTCTTGCCTCTGGTGTCTAACACCCTGACCTTGAAAGTAAAGGTCCCATGCGCACAAGGGTTTTCATGCCACAGTTAAACTTGTTCGTTCTACACTTATTGGCTCTTTTTATTTATACTCTAGTAAATAGCTTGTTCATGCACATGGCCAGTTTCTCAACGGTTTGTGACAGTCTCACCATCTTATCCTACTGACCCTTGAGTGTGTTGCAGAAATTCCCCCAGTTTATTTGTCCTTTAACTTTGCTCCTGATTTAAACTGCCTTTTCCACTTTAAGGTTACAGAACGACTTTTATGGTTTGAATTTCTCCATTTAAATCTTCAGACCAACTAGAATGTATTTCTTATGAGGTTGGAGGCGTCTGTCAGCTGCTGCTTCCTCCTGGCCTTGGTGGTTCTGAGACCACAGTGCTTGCTTGTAAAAATGTTGATTTGCTGTTTTTCTCCCTGACTCTGTCCACAGAGGTGTATACTCTGGTCTCTCTCCTCTGCCCTTACACCTGGGATCACTCAATGCCAGTCTTGTGGTCGTAGATCCAGACCCCTTGCTCTGTTTTTAATGACACACCTCTTCCTGGAAACTTGACAACCAGGCATCCTGGCATTGCTGTTTGATGAGAACGAAAGGTTTTCCTCTGTCATGTTCACTATGAATCCACCAATATTGCCACAGGCTTTGTGTCTGAAATGAGAACCTTGTCACACTGTGTGGGTGCCATCAGCCCCTCTGTCTCTCCCGGGCAGCCCCCAAGTTTTCCAACACCACCAGCCTGAGGAATGTTTCTGGAGTATGTCTAGCACAGTAACAAGTTTCCAAACAATGAAAGTAGTTATAAACTTGAGCCACAGAGATTTCTGGTCATCCCTCCTTAGCCAGAGCACATTCATTCCCATCCACAGATTGGAAAAGGCCTCCCACGATGTATTCAAGGTGTGCACCATTTGCCTTGGGATGAGGCACCAGATGAACCAGCCCCTAAGTGGCACCTGAGCCTCCTTGTCCTCCACATCTTAGAGCCAGACTCCTTAACACATTTAAAAGTAAAACCTTCTTCTCCTACATAGATCAAATTGTGGTTTGAGAAAGAGCGAGAGGAATTCCCAGGCCCTTTGGTGCTGCTCTCTCTTGAGAACTTGAAGCAGCAGCAGGAGTCACAGGCCTTCCGGGAGAGGCTGACGGTGGGTACACACAGAGCACGCACTCGGACCCTGCGGAGCAGAGGCCGCTGGGACTGACCGTTTGTTCCTTGGGCTACAGCAGCAACGTTGTCAGAAAGGACTACAGCTAACGGAAGAGAACAACCCACGAGACACAGAGGACACGGTCCAGGACTTCAAAAGGCGTCTGAGTGCCGCAGCTGGCCGGGCCAAGCGGAGGGAGGGAGAGCTGGCCGGGTGGGCCAGCCTGTCGGAGTTCTATGCGTCGGTAAGAGACCCAGGGGCGTCCCTCAGGGACCCATACATGCTCCTTTCTGCTTTGGACATTCAGTGAGCGCGGCCCCATGCAGGTCCGTGCGGCTGAGCCCTGGGACAGCCCCAGCACTCCCGTCAGAATGTACCCCAGGCTCTCAGCAGACATGTGAGGTATGTATTTATTGTCCCAAACAGATGGGCCTAATGGACGCGTGGACTTTTATGGGTGTTTACCACCTCAGTTATAAGTCCATGTACTTCCACAGAGCCCAGAACAGTCATAGCAGCCCAGTACATACCTGCGAAACTGCCAGCACCCTCGAACTGCCTGGCTGTTAGAGCACCAGGCCAGAGCCCTGGGAGCACAGCCCCTCACGAGGGCTTCCCAGGGCCAGGGCAGGGGAGGGATTCTCTGACTCTCTCACGGCCCCTCGGGCTCCCACGCTGGGCAGAGATGTGGAATGGCTGATTTCACCGTCTCTCCAGCCCTAACATCCCACCGTCCTGGGATACTGCCCCTGGGGTGCCATGGCGGGCTGCGGGGGGATGCAGACCCCATCAGCTCAAACACAAACTCGTCTCATCTGCCCTTTGGGCGAGTCTGGCCGGAGCTGCCCCTGGAGGCAGAGGGGTCTTCCTCACTCTGGCCGCTTGGCTCATGCTGGTCCTCGATTTGGGCAACCTGAACAGCAGAGGAGCATGACCTGAGCTCACTCGAGCCTCCCACTGGCCATGTGGCCTTGTGGGGCCTGCCAAGGCCGTTGCGGCCCTGACAGTTCTGTGGCCCTGACTAGCACTGTCTCTGCCACGCAGGTGCACAGGTGGATGCTGTGGCACAGCGAGCGTCTGGAACCCCTGGGCCCAGAGCTGGCAGCTGAGCGTCTGAAGAGCTGTCCCCAGGAGGCCGTGGGGGTGGCTGTAGAGAGTGTCCCCAGGGCCAGTACAGCCATGCCAGGCGTGGGTGGCCAGGAGGTGCTGGGGCCGTGGCTCCCCTTGGGGCTGTGGTGCCAGCAGATCCAGCTCTACTCACAGGAGGCCCTTCCTGAGGCCACCCTGGGCCCCGGTGCCCCAACTCTGGGCTGGAGCCCCCTGAAGTGCGAGCTTGCCCAGGGGGCCGAGGGAAGGCACCACGAGCTGCCCTGGATCCCCCTCGCTGACTTCAAGGGCCAAGCTGGGGAGCAGGCCCCACTGCTGCCCAGCTTCCCTGGACAGGCTGCTCTGTGTGGGCAGGAGGACAAGCACCTGAGCCCAGGTGTGCCTGCCCCGGACTGCAGGTCCACCTGCCCCTGCGAGCCCATCCAGACACCCGCTGCCCACCCTAGGAAGCATCCCCTGAAGAAAGTCACGAAGAAAACACAAAGCTTCGAGATTCTGCAGCCTGACAGTGGCCCTAAGGACTCCCGCCGGCCTGGCCACACTGGGGTCGTCATCAAAGGCCTGGAGGTGACCAGCACCATGGTCTTGGATAAGCCCCCGCCGAGGCCACCTGGCAGGAGCCCCCTGTTCACTTGGAACCAGAGTCTGTTCTCTCCGTCCAGGATCCAGTCCTCTGAGGAAGACAGGAGTTGGCAAGCAGGAAGGTGACGTGGATGCCCTTCCAGCCTTTGGGTCTAGAGGTCAGTGGGATCTAGAAACCTAAAGCCATTAAATGTGCTTCTACAAAGCAGAAAGTCCACAGACATCCCCCCAGGCCCACCCTGTCCTGTCCTGGCTAAAACGAACTTGGGTTTGATCTTAAACGATATGTTAGTCACGTCCCGTGTCCGTGTTCATAGCGGAGTCGTTGACAATTGCCTCTTTCTTCATGGTGTGTGGTGACCTGGGCCACCTGCTCTGATGGCTAAACCACCGACGCTGGTCATTTGGAACCCATTTACAGAAAGTAACAATAAGCAGATCAAGCCCACAATATGAAGAAATTACCTTAAAAATGGCTTTTCTTAAAACAATAGTTTAAGTGTTGAGGTAAGAAGTGTGTGCCCATTTATTGCCCGTTTTAGTTTGTTAGATATTTAAGATGTTTGTAAAAAGATGCTTTTTATTAATTGTCTGGATAGAAAGTGGGCAAGAACTGTGCTCACCCCGATGACAGATGGTGTCACTCACCTGGCACCTCCACAGCTGGCCTCATGGGCTATGGTCCCTTCTACAGTGAGCAGTGTGGGCTGGAGGTGGCGCATCCTCCTAGTTTTCTTTGTTCCTTGGGTTGGTGGATGGAAACACAGAGAGGGTTTCAAAATACTCTTCTGAAACAGCCTTTAAGTTTCAAAACCTCGGGCAGTTACAATGGAGCTTGTTAAAGGTGGAACTTTAGGTAGAACTGAGGTTTCATTTTCACATGACATGAACAGCTGGGTGTATTTCCCCATGGGCTGGAATCCGTGGGAAGGAGCAGGGAGAAATGCGGGTCTGTGAACCGACTTTCAGCCCCATAAGCTCATTTTGAAGGTTTTGGGGGCCGCAGAATGCAGGGGTGGGGGCTGTCCACTTGTCAAGAGCCACCCCTGATCACTCAGAGCAGATGTCCTGGGTCCAAAGGGAGCAGGTTTGGGAAGCCGTCCTGTCTTTGCCACTGGGGACAGGTAGGCCATGGAGCCACCAACCCAAGGTCTGGTAGTAGAGACCCCACGGCACACCCGGAGAGGGAGCAAGTCCTCCTTAGACACCAGGGTTGGGGAGGGAGCCTTGTACTAACCCCGTCTTCCACAAAGACCCTGACCTTCTGCCAGTTGTCCAGGGAGTCCTTGTCACTTGGCCAGTGGTCATTTCCCTGGAAATTTCTAGCTGTTATGTCCTTGTGAGTCAATTTCCATCTAATTTGGTCCAGATCCCCAGACCACTGTAGTTTTTATTTTATTTGGGGATATTTAGGACACTCGTGTCTGGGCGTTGAGTGGAGTTGTTCTCCACAGCCCGGGGTGCAGGGGCCCTGGGGGACACCCCAGTCAACACTGTACCGAGGGCTCCTGGCTCCTGACCAGCCAGAAGGTGCCATCTCCTCCGAAGCAACAGTGTTTGTGAAACCTTGATGTGGCGTGAGCAGGCACAGGCTCCCAGGCCTGCGGCAGACAATGTGTTCCTCCGTGCTCTGGCCACAGGTGTAGCTCCTGTGACTAGTTGCTTTTAATTTTTTTTCCAATTTTTAAAAAAACAGGTAGGGACAAATAATGGCAGAAGAATCTCCTGACCCCCGTTAGTGTCATCAGGATTGGGGAATTTAAGAAAGTTGCAGGTGGGCTACTGTCAAATAGGGAAGAGAGGTCATGCTCAGTAGAGCGGGCCCAGTTCACCAGCAGACTCTTCTTGTTTCATGCAACAAGTTTCTTTGTCATGTCACCCATCCGCTGTGTTTTTTTTCTGATTCCTGTATGTCAAAGGGGCGACTCCGGTCACGGTGGGAGGAGCACTCGAGGTGTGGAGTGTGATGGAAGTTACTCCTTGCTGGAGAAAGAAACTTAGCTGGGAAGGGTCTGTTTCTTGTGTGTCTCCTGTCAACACAGAAGCACGTTTATTCCTGTGGGTTTTCAGTCTGCTTGCTTCTGTGTGAGGCAGGAACCACGCCAATGAAGTGTTCCGTGGGTCCGGTGCGAGGCTTTGGCCCGTGGCGGCCTGAGGTTCCCCGCTCTGTGACTTCCACAGCCGCCTGCAGCACATAATGGCCGAGATGATTTCCACAGAAAGGGAGTATGTCAGGTCCTTAGCCTACGTCATCGATAACTACTTTCCAGAGATGGAAAGAGTGGACCTGCCCCAGGACCTGCCAGGGAAGCGCGGCGTCATCTTCGGGAACTTGGAGAAGCTCCGTGACTTCCACTGCCAGCACTTCCTCAGGGAGCTGGAGTGCTGCTGGCACTGCCTGTGGGCCATGGGCCGCAGCTTCCTGAGACACGTGAGTCTCTCCGGGCACAGGTCCACACAGCAGACCTCGGTGTGGTGGGCGGGGGTGACATCAGCACAGTGGGCTCAGGGAGGATGGTCCAAGTGCCCACATTTCAGGGGATTCAGGTTGCTGCCGTCCAGGTTTAGGAAATGCATCCCAAACAGGACATTAGGACCCGTCAATAAACAGACGCATGTAGGCCTAATGGTACTGGACATTTTACGCTCAGTGTCACCTGACGACACCCTGTCAAGAGCCACGTGGCACTAAGGGGCTTCACGCACATCATTATACTTAATTCTCTCAGCGATGCCACTCCCTCAACTCAAGGCTAATTGGCCAGAAGCAGCTCCCAGGATGAGTCTGCTTCCTGCACCTGGGAGGCCCGCCTGGCACGGGTCACAGTCCTCTGCCTGCGGCCCACCAGCTCCCCTCCGCAGGACCCAGGACCAGCCTGCGGATTTCGACAGAGGCACCTGGGTGTGTAGACGGACTTGAGGAGGGCAGCCCTCTCCTTGATGAGCCTCTTCCCAGCTGTGAATATGCAACATCCCCCAACCGGGGTCTTTAATAAAAATCTTAATTTGCTCTGAAAAGAAAATTTTCTCAACAAGTAGTTACCAAGCACTGTTCCAGGCTCCGGGGACCCGAGTGGCGTCTGTGCTGTGGGCAGATGAAACATTATTAAGTTAACCATTATCAATTGTCATCATTATTAAGATGAGCATTATTGAATGTACGTTACCACAACAAAAACACCCGTGGGTGAAAGAACTCCCGCAAGTGATGTCTGTTTGGCCATTTCTTAAAATGTGCTTTTTGCCATAAAGAGCAACTTCTGTATTGTTTTATGTTGACACTAACAGTGAGAATTTTAAGCATTTAGACAACTTTGGTTCTTGGTGGTTAAGGAATATTTCTGATGCTCTGCACACCCCTTCCCAGCCCTGCCCCGTGAGTGTTCCCTCCTCTCTCCTCCCCAGACTCAGTGCTTTAAAGACTGTTCTAGAACTCTGGCACTGACTCCCAGGAGCGCCCGCCATGTTTGGGAAGCTGAGAGAGTCTCCCTTCTCCCTTCTCCCGATGCAGTGAGGACTGGCCTGCAGGACCAGGCAGCGGTGCAGGCTGACAGGAGCCCTGACTCAGGCGCTCTCCCTCCACAGGAAGAACAGTTCGGCATGTACGCACTCTATAGCAAGAACAAGCCCCGGTCGGATGCCCTGCTCTGCAGCCACGGCAATAGCTTCTTCAAGGTCACTGCCCCGCCCTGCGAGCTGCGCTAGCCTACCCCCACCCTGGCTGACCCTCCCGCCCACCCTTGAAGGACAAGCAGTGGGCACTGGGCGACAGGATGGACCTGGCTTCCTACCTGCTGAAGCCTGTGCAGCAGCTGGGCAAGTACGCGCTGCTGCTGCAGGACCTGGCCCGGAAGGCCAGCCGCTGCCCCACCCATGAGCAGGAGCTGGGTGAGCTGCGCACCGCCGTGGACGTGGTCCGCTTCCAGCTGCGCCACGGCAACGACCTGCTGGCCGTGGATGCTGTCCGGGGCTGAGACGTAAGTGCTCCGAGGCCCTGACAGCCATTCCAGGGAAAAGACATGGCCTGGGGTCAGTGACACAACCAGGCTTCAGAAGGGTCCCCACTCGGAGGGGAGGGTAAGGGAGCTCCTGAGGGAGGGCTCGATGTCCAGCTTCCAGGCGATTAGGGTGTGAAAAGCAGTCTCTAAATGCTAAACGTCTGCTTATTGGGCTATTTTAAAACAACTGGATGCATGAAACTTTGAGCTTTGGGCCTGGGCTGCTAATTCACCAGCCGACGTCAGCTCATCATGCGTGGCTGGTCTCCACTCTCTGGGGGAGCCAAGGCCCAGCATCCATGATGCCCCTACCCCCAGGCAGCCTGGCTGGACCAGCACAGGTGGGAAGAGGAGATCTCCCTCTCAGGCAGGAACCCTTGTCTCTGATGGTCCCAAGGGGCAGCTGTGGAATTCCCCGGCGCAAGATGAAACCGCAGGCACCTTGCCAAGAGCAGCCCTCAGGGTTTCACAGGCAATAAACCAAGCAGGGACCCCTCTGACCACCCAGGCTTCAGTGTCCCTGTGATCTGGGGATCACAAGCCACTGCCCCACATGAATCATCCTCCCACTGACCTGCCTGTCACGGAGTGCACGCTGCGTGACCCTGGACACCCTGCAGGGTGAACTGGCCAGTACATGGTGCTCGGCTCAGGTGCTGCCGTGGGAATGGGCCGACAGGCGAGGCGGGCCAGCTTTGCAGTGGTTGGCTCCCCATCACTCCACCCTGCACTTTCACTCACATGGGCTTGAAAGTGGGGCCCCGACATCAGCTGGAGAAGGCAGGCCCGTGGCAGGCAGCAGTCTCTCGTGTCTGTGATGCTGTGGCCACGGCCAGAGTTGGAGTTGGGCACAGAGGTCTCCTTGGTCACTTCTGTGGCCGTGGACAGCCATGGAGGGCTCAGGCCACCCCGGCGTCTTTACCCCCAGGACCCACAGGCCCTCTCAAGCCCTCTTGGGTGAGCTCAGCCAAGCGATTTGGGATGGCTGGGATCAGACCAGCTGCCCTCAGGCGTCACCCGGGGCAGGGCCTGCAGGGGACGGAAAGTTGTGGGAGGACTTGCCAGTGGTGTCTATCATTTGATACATCCCACAAAGAGAGCAGAGCCTGGCCAGGGCATGTTGGCCACACCCTCCCGTAGCATTGGCCCAGACCACAGCTCAGAGGGTTCCTCTGGGTCCAGGGGCAGCTCAGGTGTGGACTTCATAATGTGACAATGAATGAGACTAGCACCACATCAATAAGGGGGCACCCTCAAAGTGAGCAAAGGGGCTTTCAAGTGGAAAGCCTTGTAACATGGAAAGAGGGCTTTCCCTGTAACCCCACGCAGGTGGGCACCTGGACAAGAGGAACGCCCACCCTAGGATTCTGCACCCATCACAGCGGGTGGGTCTTTGCCCCACTCATCCAAGCAATTCTTGGACCCCAGCTGGGTGCACAGTTTACCCAGTTCTGACACCATCTACCTGGAGATGGCATCAGATCCCATAGGTTGAGGGCTCAGTCCTATGAGCCTGCCCCACCCCCACGCTTCAGATGCCAGTCACAAGTCAGTGTTGTCACCTGTCTTCTGACTGTCCGGCTATAGATGGGAGGTTCCCACAACCTTTTCCTTGGGCTCAGTTACTTTGCTAGAGCAGCTCAGAGAAACATTTTGCTCGCTGGACCATTGCTTTATTATGGAAGGACATAAGTCAGGAAGGGCCAGATGAAGAGGCACAGGGGCAAGGAGAGGAGAAGGACATGGAGCCCCTGTGCTCTCTGAGCCAGCACTCTCCCCGGATCTCCGTGTGCTCCCCAACCTGGGAGCTCTCCAAACCCCGTCCTTAATGGGGTTTTTATGGCAGCTTCATTAGGTGTGATGATTAAATCATTGGCCACTGGCAACTGAGCTGAGTCTGCAGCCCCTCCCTCCCTGAGGTCGAGGGGCCCTGAGGGAGGTGTGCTGCATCCACAGGTGGACCTGAAGGAGCAGGGGCAGCTGCAGTGTCAGGACGAGCTTATCGTCTGCTGTGGAAGGAAGAAGTGCCTGCGGCACATGTTCCTTTTTGACGAGCTCATCCTGTTTAGCAAGACCAAGAAGGTGGACGGAGGCCATGACGTCTACATGTACAAACAGTCCTTCAAGGTAACACATCCGGCCCAGTCCACAGGGATCCGCAGGGACCTCTCCATCTGTGTTGTTTCCTGTGGCTCTTTGGGGGAACTTTGGAAACCTCAGATCCAAGGCTGCGAGGAGCCCTTTGTCCTTTCCTCCTCTGAGAGCCACTTCGGTGGCTGGAAAACAAATGTCTCCTCTGTCAGTGACTTCATTTCAGATTTCAGTAAAGGTGAACATGGGAGGAGGCCTTCCCCGGGCTGGTCTTGGGGGCAGCCCACCTCTCCCTCCCTGACAGAGGCTCTGAGGGTGTGGCTCCTGGGAGGAGCCCACACCCATGACGCTTACCTGACAGGGCTGAGGAACACATCAGGGGGTCCCGTGACCCCATCCAGTGTGTGACAGCCAGAGGGTGCCACAGAACCTTCTGGTCCAGCCCTCGTCTCTCCAGTGGGGAAACTGAGGCTCCAAGAGGGAGCCAGTGTGAATGGGGCAGGACTCTATCCATCCTGTGCCCTGAGAGCCCCCAGCCTAGCCCTGTCCACCCCGTTTGGTGTCTGAGTGACACTGAGGCATTGAGGTCAAACGGGCAGCCAGAGTGTGGTCAGTTGTTCTGAGAGGGGACCTGTGGCTCCTGACGGTGCTGCCCTTCGGGCACTGTGGCTGCAGACGACTGAGATCAGGATGACGGAGAACGTCAGAGACAGTGGCTTGAGGTTTGAGATCTGGTTCCGCAGGCGGCACAAGTCCCAGGACACCTACGTTCTCCAGGCGAGCTCCGCGGAGGTCAAGGCTGCCTGGACCGCAGCCATAAGGAAGATCCTGTGGTGGCAGGCTCTGCAGAACAGAGGTGGGCAGGAGGGCCGTGGGGCCAGCTCTGTGCTCAGGGGCCTGGCTCAGGGGCAGGGTGTCTGAGAGGCCCAGGCTGGTGGCCCAGGAGGCCCCTCGGCACCGTTTGTGAGGAAGTGCCTGCATCTTTCCTGTCAGCCCACTAACACACGTATTTCTCCTTAAAACGAATATAAACAACACCCCCCACACAGCAACTCCAGTGGAGGTCTCATGCTCGGGTTCCGTGACCCCCTTAGACCCACTGGGCTCAGCTTTCTGCCCCCATGTTGTCAAGGCCCCCTGACCTCCTGGAGCTGGGCCAATGGCCAGCCTGTGGTCTCCTCGAGGGTTGAGGGCCTCTCCTCCATAAGGCACCTTGTCCCTGATGCCAGGACCCCCAGATTTCCTCCACCTCGGTGTCTGCCCCCTTGGTCCCTCCACTCCCCCAACTTCGTCACTGGGGCACCTGTCTACACTCACAAGGTGACAGTTCATCCCATCTGGCTGCTATAAATGCCATCTTCATAGCAGCCCCTGCAAGACAGCCCGCCTGCTGGCAGCTCTGACCCCACAGGCTTGAGAAACCCTAAGGGTTCTAATGTCCGAACGTCCAAACACGACTACCTGACCCCTCAGCAGCTGCCATCCTGGCCAGAGCCTCGACCTGTCACTAGAGATGCTACACAGCCTCCCCACTGCTACCTCCTTCAAAATGTAGACCCCTCATGCACATGCGCAAACACACATGCATGCACACAGACACATGCATACACAGATATGCACGTGCACACACAGACACATGTACACAGAGATACATGCACACACAGACACGTGCATAAGCCTTGTGCACACAGTCACATGCACACACATGTGCACACACGAACACATACACACATGTGTACACAGACATGTGCATGCACACAGACATGCACGCACACAGACCCATGCATACACAGACATGCACATGCACACACAGTTACATGCACATACACAGATACATGCACACAGATGCATGCATGCATGCATACACACATGCACACACACAGGCAAGCATATACACAGCAACTTTGCTCAGTGGCTCCTCGATCCCCTTGGAGTAGAGCCAGCCCTTACAGGGAGCAGGAACCCCCCATGGCCTGGTCCTTGTCCCCGGTCATCTCTGCTCGTGCTCCTCCCTCCCTGTCCCCCCACCAACTATAATTGTTGTCTTTTTTCTCTTTGCCTGGTTTTACCAAGGATTGATTCGTTCTCAGACTCACACCCTACGCTTAGATCTCCTCTCGATATTCAAAGTCGTGCAGACATCTGTCAGTTTGTCTTTCTTGTGGCTATGCCCCTCCTGGAGGCCTCTGCCCCTCACTCTGAGCTGGACCGCTGCACAGCCCACCTCCCCGTGTCAGCACACAGGGAAGCCCTCCCTTCCCTCCCCACTTGGAACCCAGTTTCCAAGGTCCCATGTCTTCATCTTTCTTGGTCCACTCCCTTGGGCTCCCTGAGGGAGGCCACTGTGAGGCCAGATCAGGTGCACGTGCTGGAATGGGGGCCCCAGCACCTCGCCCCCCCAGTGACACTCAGGGGCATGGGGGCTAGGCCAGGCCCTGACGTGCTCCTGGTCTGGACTGATGGTGTCAGGGGTGCATAGCATCATCAGGAGTGGCATCAAACCGAGGAGGTGCTTGGAAAACTGTCCACATTCTTCTCCTTTAGAACTCAGAATGCAGGAAATGTTGTCTATGGGGATGGGCAACAAACCATTCGTGGACATCAAGCCCAGTGACGCAGCCATAAGTGACCGGGCCATCGACTACATCATGCAGGGACCAGGTAACACGATCCAGGCCCTCATCTGCACTCTGCTCCACTGACTCGGACCCAGGCCCTGGAGTGTGCCGTGGGCTCCACGGGCAGCACCACGGGCTGGTGGGTGGTGGCCACATGATGCCTGACATGACCGCACGGAGAGGAACCTAGTCAGTTTTCCAGAAGGCCATCTCGTTCTTGAATCTAGGCTGTGCTTCTGCAGCAGAAGCCGGACCAACCTGCTTTCTGTCCCCTTCTAGGGTCACAAACCCGAGTGTCCGTAGCTGTGCCCTCCCGTGACTGTCTCACCCGCTTCAAGAGACCACACTCCACCATCTTGGACAGCAGCTCCTCCTCCTCCTCCAGCAGCCAGACCTACTCCGCGCTGGGGCCACTGACCCTGCAGGCATCCACCAGCCCGGCCTGTTGCCCCTGGCCGCCTGACATCAGCACTTGCATTGAGGAGGACGAGCTGGAGATGGGGAGCCAGCCTTCTACACGTGAGTGGCGTCTGTGCTGGAGCAGCACGTGCCCCAGCCCCCAGTGGCACGTTTGGGTGGGGGAGCCGGTTCACATGTTCGTTTCACTTGATTTTATATACTTCCAAAAGTTTTCAAACAAATTAGAACTTTTCTTGAAAAATGCAAAACTTCCATTTGCACCCAAGATGAAGTAACAAGGAACAGATTTAAAACAGATGAAATACATGAAACAAGAGATTTCAAGACATCCAGCCACAAAGGGCAGTGACCCTGAGAGAAGGGAAGATGATGTGAGCCTGTGATCACCCCATTTCTGCCTGGAGGGCTCCCAGGCCACAGTGTGGGGAGCCCAGCAGCCCCCGAGTGGGGAAGACCAAGGCAGCTGGTTTGCAGGACAGAAAGGGAGAAAGCTGAGCAGCAAGACAGGTCCCCTTGGAGTCCAGCACTGTGCTGGTCAGCACAGCCTGCGAGGAGGCCACGCAGGGCTGGGAAACCTCAGAGAAGTGGGGGGCACGCCCGCATGCTCGCATGCCTGCCTGTCCCCACCGGCCAGACAGAGACATCGAGATTCACGGGGCCCCAGGTGAGGCCTCAAGAGGAAAGAGTAACTAGACAGGACACTGCTCCTGACCCACCGCCTGGTTGTGAAAGCAAGACCCAAGAGGATTAGTTTCCAGGTAACCTGACCAGACCCCAGAACAAAGCTCGAGGAGGTTTGTAGGATTACAAAAATATCCAGCACCTGACAAGGTAAATTCACACTGTCCGACCTCCAGTCTGAGTACCAGACAGGCACAGAGGAAGGAGACAAACCACGACGGGAGAATAATCAGTCGGACTGCACAGAGAAAGTCCCAGCAGCCAGGGGAGCAGAGGGCGGCAGCAGGGCCTCATGGGAAGCCCCCAGGGACCATGCACAGCATCTCCAGTGACTAAAGGAGCACCATCCAACAGAATTCATGACCCACAAAACATCTTTCTAAAACAGTGAAATAAAGACATTTTCACAGATACAGAAGCTAGAACAGCTCATCACCAGCAGACCGGGAATGTTCAAGGATGGCCTTCGGGGAGAAGGAAAGGGACACCGGGTGTTTAGAAGAGGCCTGCGGGGCTGTGCAGATCCTCCTCTGTTCACAGCCTGGGAAAGGGGACAAGTGCAGCGTGAGCACAGCGTCGATACACTCGAGGCCTGTGGGAGCACAGCAGCACGGTGGGGGAGTGCCGGCCCAAGGCTTCGTGGGGCTGCAGCGCCACTGACGGTAGACCCACACTGGATGTAGATTATGAACCCAAAACAGCTCCCAAGATAACAGACAAAAGAGTTACAGCTAACACACCAGCAAAGGAGATAAACTGGAGTGATAAGAGGCACTGAGTCTGAAAGAAGTGGATGAGGAGGGAGAGGGGACAGAGCAAGCGCCCAGGAGGAAGAGCAGCGCCTGGACTTGCCAGTCAGTTCCCACTGCAGTGTGGAAACGGGCACAAAGTCACCATGAGCCACACACGCGTGTGTCACAGTACATGGAGGGTGCTCACGGTGGTGTGTGTGTCCACAGCTGTCAGACCGCACGCTTCAGAGATGTGCAGTTTGCTGTATGTCGCTGGCGTCCCAACAAAGCAGCGTTTTGTGAAAGTACAAGCCAGCACACAGTCCCGTGTGGAGGAAGGCTGTGTTGGCAGAGCTCACAGTTTTGGTCCGCTCAGCAGCCTGCACGTGGAGAATCGCCACAGCTGCAGCCTGGAGACCACGGGTTCCGCTTTCCTCAGCTTGACGAGGTCACCTGAGCAAACCCCCTCCACAGTCCCAATGCAGCCCGTCCTTGGGCTCACGCTGCCTGCGACAAGTGTACTCTAGAGCCCAAAATGTGCCACCGCCACCATGAAAACTCTTCTGAGGGCTTTGCCACAGACCACAGAGGCATCTCTGTACCTGGCACCTGTCAGGGAGCCCAGGTGGGCCAGGCACTCCTGGCACCTGCTCAGAAGAGCACTCCTGGCACTCCTGGCACCTGCTCAGGGGGCGTACCCGGCGGCACTGCCAGCCCAGAGCCACTGCACTCTCCTGAACGTGTCCCTCAGCTCCAGGACCATGGGTGGCTCCTGTCTGGGTTGTGGCAGCCTCCCGTCGGGCCCGGGCATGGCAGCCAGGATGTGAGGACGAGGAGGCAGGCTGTGTTGGAGGGATTCTCTCAATTGCCCCAGAGGAGTGCATGAGGAGAGCCATCACCAGCCACACAGAGGTTGTGACTGCTCCAGGCAGGGCCCAGAGCACAGGCCTGGATGCCACCGCACCACCTGACCCTTGGGCTGCAGTTCGGCCTGGGGCGACACAGGACAGCCCCAACAGCCCCGCAGGAAGGAGACCTCAGGAGGCCGCACCCCCTCCACCCCCATCTTGTTCCAGTTTTGTTATGGCACATGGCCCCTCATTGGCTCACTTTCTGTTTCCCATTTGACTATTCAGAGCCGCCCCTGTGAGCTGGCAGCCTGCTGTGGTGGAGGCAGCAGCCAAGTGCCTCCCTCCTGGTCCTCCATCCACACTGGAGCTGCTCTGATTTCAGCAAGCAGGAAACGCTTATCCATGAGCACAAGTGGTGTCTGGCCTCCAGCAACGCCAGCCCCTCTGCTCTGGCCCAGCCTCGCGGGTTGTCCCGTTATGAATCCACCATAGAGCAGGAAGCGCCTCGTTCTCAAATCACAGGCTTCAGGGGCCCCTGAGCACCCAGCACCATGGGCTGCCTCCATGGCCCAGCCCTAATGCGGCTCCTCCTCGCAGGTACAGGGAGTTCAGTGTCTTCGAAGTGCATGTCGGATGACAGCGACCCCAGCCTCCCTGGGCCACGGCCTCTCCCAGAGCTGTTCCCTGACGAGGGCACCTGCCGGCCACAGCTCCATGGAGGTCAGTTCACCACGACGGTGAGTCCCCCTGTTCTGAGACCACAGGAGAGGCCTGGTGCTCGTGGGACAGTGCCTACCTGAGCGATGCTGACTGCAGGGACCACAGAATCCCCCGTGGGTCATTCTGTGCAGCAATCAGCTCTACCCGCAGCGCCGGGCATGGGCAGGCTAGCTGTGAGACCAGAGGCCAGCTCCGTTCCTGGGCTGTCCTGAGTCTCTTAGTGAGGGAGGTTGGCTGGCCTCTTGGCCACCTGGATTCTCCCGCCACATAGAGGCTGCACCTGTGCCACCGGGCATGTGAGGGTTCCAGGGTGGCGGTGCCCCCTACTCCAGGCGGGCCTGGATGCTGCCCTCCTTATCAGAAGCCCTGCAGTCTTGAGGGAAGGAGGGCTGGAGGTCAGCCAAGGTGGTTCCTAAACACAGTGAGGAGCAGGCTGGAACCCACGGCTGCAGGATGCAGGTCAGGCTCCACCAGAAGGGTGCTTCCTGGAGGCTCACATGGCCCGAAATCCTGCCCTTCCCACGAGGTCACACCCTTGGGCAAGTCACAGTCTCCCTGCATGGATGGGGTGTCAGGAGGGCCTCGACATCTGCCCCAGCATGTTGTAGGGAGCCCAAGGGACCCCAGACAGACACCTCCCTGGATGACACACAGGGACTTCCACCCCTGAGATGGAGGGCTGAGGCCATCAAGGGAGGGGCAGATCAGAGAGGAAGCCACAAGTCACCTCTTTCTAAGAGACCTTCACATCGGGACGCGGCCTGGCCTGTGCCATCAGCTGGCCTTTACCCACCCCAGGTCATAGATTTCTCCACTCTGAATGCACGTCCCCAGTTCTGGGAAGATGCCCTCACTTCGCCTCCTGGGCGACATCAGAAGGGCAGGTGCGATTTGAGGGTGTGCTGAGCTGAGTGTCTGAGGAATAGGTCTCTAGTCCCAAGATCACTAGCGATGACCAGTGCCGTTGTTCTAGTTAGCATTCCCTCCCCTTCCACCAGAACAAAATCCCTCATGTCTTAGGCTTCTGGACAGTGGTTTGACTGGCAGGCAAAACCCTCTGTAAGTAATGGGCTTTCCTGGCTTCCCCCGAAGTAATGGGGATTATCTCGTCCACCGTAATCCCTAAGGCAGGGGCCAGCTGCCACCACCCAGGCTGCCTGGCTGTGTCTCCACCTGGTTCCAGAAGCTTCTGAAGTGCGGTTGCATGGTGGGCAGGCATCAACAGCACTGCGGGGAGGGTATTGGCCAGGCAGAGCTGCTCTCCTGCCCTGCATCCCCCGACTAACCCCCCGGGGGTCTTGCTGCCTAAACAACCCTCTGGTAACCGGCACAGCCAAGAGGGCAATTGGGGTTATTTCTGAGAGCTCAGGCCTTCCTCCAACAGGAGGGGGTGGGCAGAGGGGGCTGGTGGAGACCCCCACACAACCCCCAGCCTCCAGGTGCAGCCCTCCTCGCTCCCCCACTGCACACTTCCCTCGGCCCCAACCTGTGGAGCTCAGGGATTAGTGGTGTTTCTGCCACGAGGGAAGGAGCCTGGCAGAGGATGCACTTGTTCCTGTTGCCCTGTCCTTGTCCTTGCATGACCTCAGTTGCATGTCTGTGAGTCTGAGAGCACCTTGCGGGTGGGAGGACCCTGGCAGCACCTCCTGGACAAGGACTCTGTGCTCTCACAGACCTAGGGCCAGGGGCCAGGTGGGACGAGAACTGGGATCATGAGTGACGATGGCTGTTCTTTCGACACCTCTGATGGGTCTAGATGAGATGCGGCTCCTCCAGGGAGAACCCCGGACTTTGAGGGCGGAGGAACCTCGGCCAGACCTGGGCATGAAGTCTGGAGATGAAACACTCAAGCTGGGGGTTCCTGATCCTCCCCCGCCACGGGCCCCCCATCAGCACGCCCCTCTGGGCCTGAAAGTTGCCGGTCCTGGCCCTGTGGGCTGGGCATTGCCCAGCCTCCCTGTACCCTGCTGCCTTGAACTCTCCCCGACTCCTAGGGCCATGCGAACCCCCAGCTCTGGAGCGGAGGCCCAGGCGGGCACGGGCGTCTCACAGTAGGGTGAGCCCTCTGGGACTGTGTCTCCCCAGCCATCAGGCAACTCGGGCTGGTGAGCGACGGTCCCCAGGGGCAGCCCCACCGGGGTGCGTCTGGATTCAGGGCCAGACCTTTCCTTTATAACAAGTCGCATGTAGGTGGCAGGAGTGGTACTCACCTTAGGCTCAGGTGCCACCGACCACCACCTGTGAGCCTGACGAGCCATACCCTGCTTGCCAGATGGCCCCAGGTTGGGGCAGGGGCAGAGCAGCTGGGAGGTCCTGTCAGCATGGACAGTGCCCGGAGAGGAGCACTCACCAAGCAGAGGAGAATAATAATCATTTGAAGGGAGAGCCTGGGTGGACGCCAGACCTTTGACAAGTTCCTGCTGCCTCCCCAAACCCTGTCCTCGGGGAGTGGTACCTACAGCAGGAGCAGGTGGCAGGCAGGGGCCACACCTTTGGGACTGGCTGGCGTCTTCTCTGTTTCTTTGTTTCAGTGCTGACTTGCCCCAAACTTTAGGAACATAAATAAATGAATGTGTTTTCTACCACGTGGTCACGCTTTATTACTTGGTCCTGCTTTGTCCTGTACATCACCTGCATGCCTCACCCAGGGAGCCCGGATCCTGCACTTTGAGGGGATGTGGCCCTGGGTGGCAGGTGCACTCTGGGGTCCACATCCACATCGCCCACCATTGCTGCTTGACTCCTTCCTCCCTCCTGTTGCCTTCTCTGCCTCTTGCCCTCCTCCCCTCTTGCTCTCTCTCTCTCTTTCTCTCTGTCTCTGTCTTTCTCTCTCTGTCTTCCTCCCTCTGTCTCTGTCTCTCTCTGTCCCAACCGTGACCCTCCCAGACCAGCACTCGGTGGCCCATGAGCCAGCTGCTCTGGCCCTGCCCCAAATGATGGTGATGTGTTGGTGGGGGCGGGGTTCAGGTTATTCAATAGACATTTAACACCCTCAGTGCCGGGAGCTGCAAGAGGAAGAGTATTTCTCCACCCCTCTTAGGTTCTCAGCTGGGGCTGTGTAACAAAAGACAGATTAACAACAGCAAAGCCTAAGATTTATTTGAGGTAAGTTTTAGGTGACGTGGGAGCTTCATAAGCAGATGACCTGAAGTGGGTAGGCCTAAGCATTTCTGTACTAAGTTGAGCGAAGAGATGCAGTTGTGGAAAAGCAGCTGAGACACACGGGGAGGCTGACGGCAGATGAAAGTTATATTTTAACAAGGTCTGTTTGCGCAGAATCCTCTCAGCCTGCCCCGGCCCCCAGATGAGAACGATTCTTCCTCCTGCACAGGGAGGGCGACTTTGAGGTGGCGTTTTCGGCTCCTGCCTCCGGGAACAAGAGAGGGCTCAGTGCCCTTCTCACGCCTGCTGCTGTTCAAGCATCTTCAGCACAAAATCATCCTTATTCCAAAGTGGCGTGTTCTGGGGTGGTGTGTTCTGCCTGCTCAGAGCGAGTAACCGTGCACCGTGCCCCAGAGAACATCTCAGCTCGCAGAGCCCTGTCTAACCTCCGGCACTGCCTGCTCATGGTCCTGGGGCTGCAGACAAGGACACGGAGCCTCCAAGACAGGGAGCCGCTGCCGAGGGAGCCCTGCAGTTGTGGGAGCGCCGAGGCCGCCTCTCCCAGCCTGCAGTCCAGCAAGGGACGAGCAGCGTGCCCTCCCAGCTTGCTCCAGCCACGGCTCCCTCCCATGGACAGTGGGGAGGTGACAGCCAGCCCTGGTCCTGGGGAGGAAGAAGGAAGACAAAGGACAAGTCAAAGTGCTGACGCCTCATGCAGCTGGCTTATTTGTCTTAAAGTCAGGAAACAGTTTTCAAAGGTGCCCCCCTGCCCCATTCCCAGGGCCGCGTCGCTCACTCCCAGACGTAAGGTGAAGAGGGACTCCGGCCCCCAGGGCCCCCGTGGAAAGGTCTGTTAGCCCAAGGTCAACATCATTCTCTGCTCCTCTGACTGGGACAGGCCCAGGGCTGGGCACACATGCTCCCCCAGAGGAGGCCACCCCCAGAATGGGCCTCCTGCAGCTCCCAAGCACAAGACCCCTGCAGTGGGCACAGGCCCCGCTGAGCCAAGCACTCAGGCAGCTCTGCTTTCACCAACTGAGCGCTGCAAGGACAGGACGCCACCACCAGCCACTTCCATAGCCAGAGCCAAACAGTCGCCCAGGACCAAAATAGCTGTCAGATGACTGCAGGGCTGGCTCACCACCTCTGCCCAAAGGCAAGCTGCTCACCACAGCTGCAGCTAAAAATAGGTGCAAAGGGCCCACCACTTTGGGAGAATCTCAGGGAGAGCTCCCTCCTGCCTTCAGCCTTCCCCAAGGACAGGCACAATGTGGTCGCTGCGCTTCATTTCTGCTGAGGCCCTGGTGTCCCACCCCGAGGTGGCCCAGCAGAGCCTGGATGGTGTGGCCCACAACCTCTACCCGCTCCTGTTCAAAGCCAGCTACTTGCTGGAGCAGGCAGAGGTGATCCGGGCTCTGCTGGAGCGCTGGCCACTGGAGGAGTGCCGGCTGGGTGTGCTGCTGGGGCCGAGTGCAGACCACTCGGAGGACCTGCGAGACCGGGCCTGCAGGGCCTGCCTGGAGGCCTTCGTGCGGGGCCTTGCGGACCACGTGCTCTGGGCTGGTGGCCGGCAGCGGCTGAGGGTGGCCGACCTCACAGGCGTCCGAGACGTGCAGGTGCAGCGGTGCCCCTGCGGGAAGGCGCTGGGCAGATGGGGCCGCACCGAGCTGCTGGCCAGGACCTGCTGCGAGCTGCAGGCAGAGCCCCCTGGGGCCCGGCACCCTATTGAGGTCCTTGCAGATCTCTTTGTCACCGAGGGCAACTTCAAGGTGGTGATGCAGGCCCTGGACCCACCACGCCCAGCCCCACTACGTGTGCACTGCCTTTCCTTCCGGGCGGACAGCCTGGGCCCGGGCCAGCTCCTGCACGTGCTGCGTCTGGCCGGGCCGGGTCAGCTGCGCAAGCTGGAGGTGGTGCATAATGTGCGGCTGCATGCCGGCCACGTGCAGCAGCTGCTGGCCCAGGTGGGCTTCCCCAAGCTGACCTCACTCACCCTGCCCGCCAAGGCCTTCGATGCACCCCCTGACTGCACTCCACCCCCCAGTGGCGAGGACCCCTTCCTCACCTCCATCGCCTGGGAGCTCAGCCAGATGACCCAGCTCACTGAGCTGAGTGTAGCCTTCTCCACGCTGACTGGGAAGATCCGGAAACTGCTCAGGTGAGTGGGTGACCGGATGGAGGGCAGGGTGGGGCGAGTGCAGTCGGCTCACAGCCCCTCCACCTGGGTGAGGCTGGCCAGGCTAAAGATGCCCTGAGCGCCGATAAAAGGGGAGCTGGTCACTTAGTGGCTACGAGCCCCCTGCTCCCCTCGGCCTTTACTCCATGCCTGGCCAAAGCATCAGGAGAGGACAGACGGAGCCAGGTTGGTGTTGTGTGCAAGCCGAGAGCGTTGAGGGAACTCGGGAGCCTGTGTTCAGTTGGTGAGTGAGAGAGAAAATCACTGGTTAGCAAACAAGCAACATAGGAGTCACCCTGTTTTCCTGCACTGGCTGCCTGCAGTTGTATGACAAATCACTCAACACTGGGGCTGAAACCACAGGCCTCCAGTCGGGAGCCCGTGCAGTTTGGGCCAAGGTTGTGGCCCAGCTGGAGGCCAGCTGCAGGCTCCTCTGAAGGCTGGGAAACCAGGTGATCTGCTTCCAAGTCCACGCACACGGCTGCTGGCAGCAGCTCGCTCTGTGCCGCATGGGCCTCTGCTCAGGTCTCACGACACGGCTGCTGATCAGAGAACAAGAGAGCACCAGATGGCAGCCACAGTCTTTGTCACCTACTCTCCAGAGTGCTGTGTCACCGCTTCTGTGTATTGTGCTGGTTGGGAGCCAGTTACCAGGCGAGGGGAGGTCACCACACGAGGGCTGGAACCTTGGGACGGCCCTGAGACCACTGGCCATGAATATACTTTTAAAAATTTACAGAAAATTAAGCTTATTCCTTGAGCCAGTGAGCGTGAAGCTGTGTTTTCTAGTTGAGGGAGTCCTTGGCTTACAGGTGTTTCTCTTTTATACAAGGGAAACCCAGAAGCTGCCAGCCCCAGCTGGCCCCAGCAGGCACCCTGGCTCCTCCGTCCCTGCTCCTCCAGCCCAGGTCTGCCAGGAGAGGAATGGGGCTCCTTTCCTCCCATCCCCCACGGCACCCCAACCTCCCGACAGGAAAGGGTGGTCACCGAGCCCACATACACCCAGAACTCTGAAGTGGTGGCTAGCTCCCAGGGACCCTCAGGACATTCCTGCACTTGGCAGCCTGAGTCCTCATCCCAGATGTGCCTTTGCCACTGGGGGAATGTGCCCCAAAGCCCGACGGCCCATCACAAGCCTGGCAGGCTGTCTGGATGGCTCAGCCCCTGCCGAGCTTTCCCGTCGCCCAAACGGACCCCGAGGTGCGTTTCAGTCAGGCTCGGAGGCTTGGGGTGGTGGGTGGTCAGGGAAGGCTTGCTCTTGAGGTGACCTTTGAGCAAAGCCCGGGAACACTGAGTGGGCAGGCCTCGCAACAGCCTGGGGAAGCATTCTAGGCAGGGGACTACAGGTGCAAAAGACCCAAGCTGGGGATGTGGAAGGGTCAGGGGTCAGCAAGGAGGGGTTGAGGGTCAGTTGGGAGGGGGTCAGGGGTCAGCAGGGAGAGGTAGAGGGTCAGTAGTGAGGGGTTGAGGGTCAGCAAGGCGGGGTCAGCAGGAAGAGGGTTGGGGTCAGCAGGGAGAGAGTCAGGGGACAGCAGGGAGTGGATGGGAGGGAGGGGTGTGGGGGGGGCTTTAGCTTTCCTGAGCGAGCAGAGCAGGAGATTGTGAACAGGAGGGCGGTGTGACCAGCTTCATGTGTACACAGGTCACTCTGGCTCTTTGGCCCACACAACAGACCTGGGGAAGGCAGGGAGGAGGGCAGATGGAGTGGGGACACCCACTAGGAGGAGCCGGGCCCTGCAAGGCCACCTGGGTTTGGTGATTGCCTCAGAGGTCTTGGCAAACCTCTGGCAAACCTCATGGGAGCTGTCCTCTTGGCTGTGATTTATGATGCGGAAGGACACAGAGCAGAATCCACCAGGGGAAAAGTGCGTGGAGTGAGGTCTGGGGGAGGCCAGGTACACATCTCTGGAGCCCTCTCCCCTGGACCCACTTAACCGCCCAGCACTGAGTGTGATGACAGTGTGAGGTGCTAGCTACCAGAGAGCTCATTAGAGACCCCCAACTGGGCCAGGCGGATGGCTGCCTCAGCCGGCACGCACCAGGACCCCAGACCCCAGGAGGAAAAGGTGCTCACACTGAACTCTGTTGTCTGTACAGTCTAGGGCCAGGGACCACCTCCTACCCCCCAAACCCCAGCTCCTGAGGTCGGCAGTCAGGCCTGCTCTGTTGACCCTTTTATACATGAGAAGCCAGATGTGAGTCCAGATGTGAAAAGGCTGCAGCGTGGACCAGGTATGAGCAGTGCAGGTGGTGAGGGGGCTCAGGCCTGGACCTGACGTGAGAGA